GACATCTTGGCTGAGTGTAGTTGTGTAAATATCTAAGGTTGAGAGGTAGATCGCAGTGGCTCCTGTTTGGCTTTTGCTTATATGTGGCAGTCGGAAAAAAAACCAATGATCAGCAGTGGGGACTTGTCTGGGGAATCCATTAGCCAATTGATCGGCTACTACCGAGATCACAAGCGGGATCAGTCTGGATACCTCGGTCGAGTCCTATTTACTATGCCATTCGTAGACTCTGTTGGAGTAGTATATGCGTTTGTTGAGGTGCAACATTAACACGAACCCTCTCGGTGCTATTTCCCGAATGAAACCGGAAAGCAAGAAACGCTACACATGCTCACCTTTCAGACACTTCCTAACGGATACCTTCATGTATAAGCGTGCAGAAAATGCTCTGCTCAATTTACAGTCCTTGGGTGTAGAATTTGACGGACGGAGTAGCTGCGATAGAAAAGAAACTTGAAGCATCGTCTTCCACCCTAAAACCTTCGGACGCACACTGACCTCATTGTCGTATTCATATAACAAAATCCTCGTCGAGAGATTGACGCACGTTTGCTACTGCAAAGCTTCATGATTTTGCTGTCTACATTTCATCAAGAGAACTCACCTGCTATCCCCAAGCTGCCAGTCGAGATCCGGGTCGCTATAGATGAAAGAAACATCTTTCTAGCAGATCAGAAGCTCTGACATATTTTGCCTAGCATTATAATTCCATTTCTACCAATAAAGACTCGAATAGATGACTACAGTACTTTCCCAACTAAGAGGCCAGTGAAAAGGTTTCGATGTGATTGAAACCGGAGACCCTTTCAAAATATTGAAGAGATATGTAAAACTGAGACTACATTCACCTAAGACTCTCGCTGGCGGAAATGGACCCGTTTTGCAAAAGCTGGGGTTAGATCCTAGCCAATATATTTGCTTTGTGGGCACAAGACTTGAAGCCAAGAAGAGGAGCAGCTTGAAGTTCCTACCAGGTTAGGTTAACGTGGTTGACTATTTCTCTGTGGTTCATATCATGTGTCTCTTTATCGATGTCTTCTATAAATAACTACAAAGCCTGAAATGATGTCTAAGAAGAATACGTCAAGACTGAATGACCGTGTAGAATGTAGACAAAGGAACGAGTATTCATTCACCAGGCGAGTTGACTTCATCCTATCATAATCTGCTCCATTAGTGGCTGAATACACAGCTGGGGATTAATTCAATGAAAAAGATGAATATTTCCTATTCACCTACCGGCCTATGCGAAGGCTATAAATACCAGATATATGCCTTACAGCTTCCTCCTCCTTGTCCACTTATTCCTATGCTGCACATATCGACAACCCTTCCAAAGTGTATCATATACCCACATCCAAGACTGAACAGAGCCCCATCGCTGCAGACTAATCTATCCCACAATGAGACTTCAGATTGTCATGCTTCTTTCTCTCTTCAGCCTAGCCGCTTCAATAGCCATACCTCCCCATGTCCGTGGTGAAGCTGGTAACTATCTTTCAAAATTTTCATACCCAGTACCTTGCACAGAGGAACTAACCATATATCAACCCAAGACGAAGTCATCGCGGACTACAAGACCACGGCCGAGATGGATGCGCGGGACACACTGGAACCCAGAGCCTATCCCCATTGCCTGAGTTATAAGGAATGCAAAGGTGGCTGGTGCCACAAGGGTAACTGTCTGGACAATGTGTGCAAGGGAGCCAATATGTGCCCCAAGGGCTTTTTGTGTGATGGCGCCAACTGCTATAAGCATTTACCGCCTTGGACGTATGATATTCCCTAGATGGACTGGTAAGTGGCATGTGTGTTTTGCGTTGACGGAAGGATGGCTGTCTGACTTGCTTTCTCTAGGGCGATGTTCCCATGGAGGTTTTGGATGATGGGGGTTTGGCTGTTGAGATAAGTGGGAGAGTGATGGTCTGGGAGTGGTGCGTCTGCTTGGGCATTATTTTCCTGGCTGTGGCTGTGATTCTTGATTGTCGATGCTGGACATCTTACAGAGATCTTGCGGGTAGTCCTTTGGTGGAACTAGGTGATTCTTATTGAGTACAGTCTGTTGTCTGTGAGAGTCACTCCTATGTACTTAGCTTGCGAAAGGACGATGTATCCGTTGACAATGCAGCTGTGTCAGTATCAAGAAAGCCAGCACGGTACATAGACATAATTTTAATGCCTTCCTTCAAGTAGCGATACTGTAGGGAATGACGCATATTTTATTCCTAGTGAAGATAGGCATCGTATTTGCTCATTAGGTCCGCTGTACATACAGACGATATTATAAACTACATTTTTGATAACTAAACTTATTATTTTAAGTCCCAATTTTAAACCCATCTCATGACTCAAACTCGAAAGAACAGGAAACACGATAACGCTACGGGAAGACAGATGGCACCTGATGATGCGATTAGCGAACAGCCCATCGACACAAAACACGATATACACCTACCCATAACCATATTCATATAGAAATAACCGACCGTTTCGGATAAAGTACCTGAAACCAGGGGACCTAGCATTGAACCCAGGCTGAATGCCACTTCGGTTATGGAGGAGACCCGGGAACTACCACCGAATTCTCCGAATATCTTCGGATTCTTTGCTTCCATGTCCTTAGTAGCAGCTGATAGCAACATTAATAAACATAAGTCTATACCAGGTAAGGGGAGGGGAAACAATGCAAGGCGACTCACCAACCAACTGCATCGTGCCCGCGCCGCGAACCAAGGTGAAAGCAATACCGATACTAACCAGACTAGTGATAAAGATGGCTTCACCATTCGTCTCAGGGCTAGCCCAGGAGAATTTCTTCTCTCCAGGAACACCCAAGAGCCACAGCAATGGGGCTATGAGCGCCCAGCCGATCGTCGCCGGCCAGCGGGCACCAGCTCGATCTCGAAGCCACCCAACCAGAGGGCCAAGGCACATGGAGGGAACCTCGAGGGATAGGAAAATCATACCCACGGAGAGGGTATTCCAGTGAAAGACATCGCGCAAGTGAAGGGGAAGAGTGGCATCGAAAGCAGCGATGAGCGTTGCAAATATAAGTGTGTTTGCTACACTAGCTACAACGCGGATATCACGTAGTATGATGCGATAAAAGGAGCCAGATGATCCGACTTGTTCAGTCTCTGGGGCGACTGTATTGTAATCTGGCGACTCATTGGTATCAGATGACGGTGGAAGCAGGGGCGCCCTCTCGCTCTCCTCTGGCTCGCGAGGAGCCGTTAGCTTTGGGGAATCGGGTCGGTCAAGCGGTAGTTCTCGCCCTTCGATCATAAGAAGACGTGCGATAATATCCAGGCAGAGCACCAGCAGAGGAGCGCTCCAAGTCGGCCAGTATCCCACCAATTCCAGTAGCGCACCGGCGACGAGAGGGCCGCTGAGCTGGCCGGCTGTCACGAAGGTCATGGCCGTTCCTAGCGCCTTGCCCATATGGTCCAGGCCGACATTGTCAGTCAAGGTCGCAAACCCCACAATCCAGGTCGCGCTGCCGGACACTGCTTGCAAGATCCGACCGATGAAAAGCGCCTCAACTACATGCCGGTGAGTTTCAATGAAAGCTTCGCTACACGACATGATAGATATGCATACTGGAAAACGTGGACGCCACTAAAACAGTACCTGCGAAGCATCCTGCAAGAGCGAGCAGGAGCGGGGCCTTCCGGTTCGGCGTCTTATCTGCAAAATGGGCAATGATGGGTGCAGAGACCAGAGACACAAAGCCATGGATGGCCAGGACAACAGTGGTCATCCGCTGCGTATTGGATTCATCCATGCGAAGACGAGCTTCGAGCATATAACTTAAGATGGGAACCACGAAGCCATATAGGAAGGTTTCTGGCCAAGAGTTGTTAGGACATTGGACGCCGCCAGAGTTACAAGACTAGAGGAAAATACCAGCAAACAAAGCGATAATAATAGTACAGATGATGAAGCTTCGGGATGAGCGCCATCGATAGCCCCATGGCAGTTGCTTTTCGCTTGCCATGGCGTTGGATGGCTGATTATAGGTGAGTAGGTAAGAATCCTCGTGTCTTTGAATTCGGAACTTTGGCAGCCATCTTGTCTTATAATACAAAACCTGCTGGAGTTTCGCGGGAATAAATGACAAATTAACTCGACCCATGCAACACGCGATCAGCGGGTCAATGGTTCATGCGCATTAATAGTCGCTAAACCAGGAAATCCGAAAGTCCGATCATCCTGTCGGGCCAACGAGAGAGCAAGACAGGACCCGCGGTGGATACGAAGACCTTCAGCTCAGCCAGAGGTCCGCTGCCCTAATTGGCTTTTCGTACGTCACTCTCAGCCGCAAAGATACCCAAACGAACACCTACCTGGGAAGTCTCATTCCAAGACGATCTTGAGATTGGACGAGGGTTGGCAGATTTCACTTGTAGGTTCTCCCTTCCTACCCCTTGCATCTATGTCGCAGTTTCAGTCTCGCTGAGGGTGCCACTCTGGATATGAAGAAGCTATTACTCCGTACATGAGCTAAACAATAAAATGTCGTCCGGGAACTTTCATATCCCAAGAACGCCGATCAGTTAATCATCATGCAGGTTTGCTCGAAGCTGAAGCAGAACAGATCCAACAAGAGCTACATCGATATGGGTTGGGCGGCCCGAGCGACGAATCAACGACTTGCGGAGGAAGTCCCGATCACCTGAATGTGGATACCCTAAAGACACATCATTTCCTCTCACATTCAGCTCACGCTGACAGCCCCTGAGTATGCACATCCGCAGGACATATCGCGCCTAGCGAGCATTAGGTTGGCTAGATTGCCCCCACCCTCCGTCCCGACCCAAGAATCTAATTTAGGATATGCCACCACTCATACAGTTGATCTGCGGGCGGCCAAGACTATGTACATACCTTACACATCCAAGAACTAAGTGCATTCGTGAAAGCAAGGAGTTACTCTCTGAAATTACTTCCACCGTCGAGCCCTGATATCCAATCCAACCCGGCATCGACTTGATCAGCAGTCATGCCTGAATAAATCGGATTGGGAACCACCCCTGGACCAACATATGAGAACAAAGATCATCAAACGAAACCGGCACAGTATATTGACCTGCGCCTGTAGTTCCCGGTCCAAACTCGTCCAAGCCGGCCGGAATGTCTTGCCAGCTCCCATCATCTCTTTCAACACCGTCATCACACTTGCGATGAACAGTCACGATACCAAAATACGGCACAGCGATTTGTCGACTGGTCCCCTTTGCTAAGGATTGACAACTGGTTACTAGCTCTTCTAAGGCTGCATGGCATTGACCGCTCAGCGAGCTTGGTTGGTCTTCGGAGCAATCCTTGAGAGCAGAGCGCGTCCGGCTGATGAGAGACTGATCATACCATTTGGAGTCCAGTTTCGACGTTGTCCCCCACGAGGTGTCTCTTCCGAGTAGATGAAGGAAGACAATGACCGCAGCGGTAAGTGCTGAAAAGCCGGAGAGCTTTACGCTGTTGTCGATGCGCGCTATCGTAGGGTTACTCTCATACAGGCATAAGTAAGCGTCCAGCAGCGACCGTGCACTTTTCACACATGAAGCTCAGCCATATGCTTGCCCACTTATACCCGAAGACTGCAAGAAGAATGGTAAGTATAGGTGTGCCTTGAGCTGATGAATGTTGGCCAGCCGATACAGCCGTGCATGCTTCTCAGAAATATCTTCGCAAAGAGAGATCTGCTCCATGTCTAGGTATCCTGCCGGGAGTTGCGAGGTAACCTCGTCGATCTGCTCATCGGTTCGAATGACTGCCGAAAGTGTTGGCTCTTTGTTTATTTGCAAGCAATCAATAACCCGTCCAGTCAACACAGACAGATGTCGTGCATGGAACTTAATCGGCGTGCTCTCTTCCAAGGTAGGGATGTATAGGTCGCAGAGGTTCTTTGGAACTGAGTGTGGAAGTCCAATCATCAGGCTCACCCACCGATCTGCACTAAACAGCTGCCAGAAAAGTGAATCTAAGAGTTCCGAATTCCTATGCGTCTGGTGAATACCGGCAAGTTGGGACAGGGTGTTGGCTCTACGGTACGCGATCCACGCTCGCCGAGGCTGCAGTGAACTCATATAGCATAGTCCCAATGCCATTAAGCATTGGAGACCGTATCTGCCACCAGCAAGATCATCATCATGTAAAATCAGCTGTTCCACCGGACAGAGGTACTTCCCAAAGTCACCGGTGCTAAATGCAAAACATAGAAGCAATATTGCCAGGAGGCAAGGATGCCCAGTACGAAACGCCCGCATTGCGAAGCTCTGTAGGTCAGAATCGCTTTCTTCGCCCCCAGCCCAATGCAAAGGATTCACGCCATGTTTGTCACCAATGACTTCGAGTGCGAAAGATCTCGACCATCTCTGACTCGGATGGCAACGCCAGACAAAGTCGGTATAGAACATCAGCACGTTCTTCTATATGCTTTGTGGAGTTATGGTGAGCGCTGTCTTTCCGTTGTGGAATTGTTAAATTCGACAAAGCCTCTATGTTGGGACGAGGTTGACCAATCTGCACATCATGAGAAGAATGATACAATACTAGACCTTCTATAGGGGGCAATTTCCTACCAGCTCATGATTCAATAATTTCATGATTGGCGCACAGCCACTTTGCACAGTATCTGAGTTGGCAGTCGCGCTGTTGGCAGCCGCACCCATTGCATGTTGTGGGTCACCCTTCAGAAATATCCTGACTATTTCTTTCAGTTGCGCAAGTGCTTCAAGAACATGAAATGGCGCATCCGACTGGACGTTTGGTAAATTCCTTACAGTCATTGGGTCGCCTCGTGGGATCCCCAAAGAGGTTTGATTCGAGTCATGACTATGCTCGGACTCATCCGAGCCCTGTGGGACACATATTGTTCGTCGTCTTACACAGTGGACGCACCCTTCGGAGTTACCTGGCGTGAAGATACAGCGGACCTTCCGTCGCCGGCCTGGGCCCATGTCAGTCCAGATGCAATTACTTGAAATGACTCGGTATTGTCAGAGGTCCACATACAGGAAACGCAACTATGCGTCCCCTTCCTCATTCGCTTGGCTGCAGGCATGGGTTTAGCCTAGCCTAATCCCTTTTTGTTAGGTTCGGACGAGGCTAAAGGGATCGGATCATGCGGGAAGGCGAGGGAATATCTTGAAGAATGTGGAACCATTGTATGCGATTCTCATTCGCTCTTTATCAGTTTCGTCCGAGGTAGAACTTGTTTACTAAGCAGATTCGTCCTGATTCGGATGAATACGAGATATAATCCTAAAAGAATGGAGGTTTGATAGGGGAAATAAAACGAAATAATACGTCCATCTGTGTCGCGAGAATCCACATCAATATCCTCCTGCGTTAAGAGCAGTTGCATCACCTCATAATGGCCCTCGTCTGCGGCATGCGATAAGGGTGTTCTGCCTTCAAAATCTGCCCGATCCGTAGCCAAGCTGGAGTGCTTGATAAGAAGTTTGACGGTGTCTGTAAGCCCCTGTTGAGAAGCCATAGCTAGGATGCTAAGTCGTGCGGATCTAAAAGCTCTACTATGAGTTTGAGCACTTCCGGCGGAAGAGTGGGCATACTTTGGAATCGTCAAGAGGCAATTTACATGCTACGGACGCAGAGACTTGTTCGGGATACTATCATACCCAACTCCGACGAAGCTGAAGGAACATGCCATGTATGATCCTTCCCCAGCGGCATTGGGGACCTTGAATTTCGCTGCCAGCAATCTGAGAAAGACTCTAAAGGCTATATCGTGGCTGAAGCATGACGATAATAAACCAGGCACCAACGCAGGCCCTGTACCTAATGATCAAAAAGGTTAAAGACAGATTTACACGTAAAATAAAGAGGAAGACAGGGAGAACTTCTTTCGTAGTACCCTTAATCATTAGCTACTCAGTGATCTATAACCACTATTTCCCCTCTCACGAGGAGAGGGAAAACATATCATTCAGCGCATTCACTAACAGTAACCAAATCCATAGAGCTAGATAGTGTCGGTCCATGGTGAATTCCAGACTGCGATATATATTTTAAGAAGAAACTCCAATGGACTGATGCTAAAATAGTTTAAGATGACTAAATAGATAATTGTTGCACTAAAGCTCAGTATTCCAGCCATGGGTGTTGGTGATAGCCAAAGGTGGGCTACAGATTTTGGCTAGGTGTACTGATTTATACAATTCATGGCAACTCATAATCGTATATGATCTACGTATCACTCTTCGTTGGTTGGTCATTTTTTTTTTTCACTTGGCTTGCCCTGTATCCTTTTTCTTCTCGAAAAGAAAGCTTTCACCGTGTCCTACGTCCTTCCTATTTTGTTCTTCTCAATGTCCAACAAGCGTCATGACCAACACAATGCAGCAATAGCCGATCCAGAACGCCGAATATAACTAACATACAGAGGTCAGATGATAGAAGACCCAGGAAGGAGATTCGCAAACTTTTCCTCCAGGTGCTTCTCTAGCATTCTCTTATGTCCATCCGAGATCTTCCCTGCGGCCTTCATTCTTTCCGCCAACTCTTCAATGCACTCATCCAAAGTCTTCACATTGTCAGTATTCACTTCTGCCTGTTTACCAGCGACGGCATGTGTCCAAAGGCTTTCCAGCTCTTCTCTCCATCCCAGCGAATCAGCTAGCCGCCGTACACCATCATCACACGACCCAAGGATGCACACGTCCGATTGTCGAGTACCGAAATCCCCGACCTGCGTCATATTTACGAGCAGCCTGGGCGTCCCCTCTTTCACCAGACGTGGCAGTCTTGAACATGGCGCCACTTTGAGACTTGTCCCCATAACAAGCATCAATTCTGCGTCAGATACCCTCTTCTCTTCGACTTCGAAGGCGGCAGGAAGAGGCTCCCCAAAGAAAACCACATCAGGTTTGACCGCGCCGCCACAGTCCGGGACTTGGCAGTACGGCACCTGACCTGTTTCAATTGCCTCAGCCATAAGCCCATCCGGGTATGGCGTTTTGCATTTATGGCATCGCTGGCTTTTCCAGTTTCCATGACAGGAAAGCACTTTCTCTGCGGGGACACCGGCATCTATCTCGAGACCATCGATATTCTGCGTGAATACGAAATCAAGAAGGTTCTTCTTTGCCAGCAAAGCCAGAAACGCATGAGAAACCGTTGGTTTGAGGTTCTTGGGATTGCGGGCTCTGGCTAGCGCGTAGAATGGCTCTGGCGTGTGTCGGAAATAGTTGATATGGAAGATAGCCTCTGGGTAGGGAAGCTTTAATGGCGCCAGTTTATCATAGAGGCCTGTTCCTGGTGATCTAAAATCGGGCACACCAGCTGCTGTAGAGATACCTGCCCCCGCCAGAACGATGATGCGGGCTATCTTCTCACTTCTGATGAGATTTGCAATGTTATCCAGGGCATATTGTTGGCTTGTGGGCGGTTGATTTGAATGGTCTGCCATGATTGCTGTTTGGTCTTGTGGCTATCCTGAGAGTCTGGAGCTGCAAAGTTAAGGAAGGTTCAGAATGAGTTCCAACTATGTAGCTATATTTATTGCAGAAGACCCTTCCTTAGCCATTAGGCCTAGCTTGATTGGTGCCGCGTGGCAGAGAATCTAAGGCTATGTTTCCATCAACTGTGTAAAACCCCGCTTGAGAGGCTGTGCCTGCAGCCAAGCTGTGAGGCTGGACTGAGCCACATGCTTGAAGTTTGCCAATAGACCTAGCCCTGCTCCTATGTCACTTTTTAGTGAGGTAACGTATGATGAAAACCTCACAAGTCATGCCGTCAGCATTATGTAGAAGGAATTTATTGCTACAAACCCGAGTATGGGAAGAGGGTCACTGCAGTGTAATGAATTCTCACAGCGAATAAAGCAACACCATAGCTGACCGTACAATGACAACATGGCACCCCTTTGTATGTGAATGAAAATACACATGTATGGGCCAGTCATAGACGTGATGTGAATGAAGCAGGTCACCCGATCCGGCTTTCGCGGTGCTCTTATTGTTGAATGTAGTGGAGCAATTGAAAGCGTTTGGTAGATTCACTTGTTCCATAGCGTCTTGCTCAGGTATATAACAAGACAATGGCTAGTAGTTCGATTGAAATATCTCATCTCTGTTAGATTGACTGCCTTTTGGCCCATAGAGTGTCTTCCGATAAGAAACAGGTCAAGTCCATCATGACGCCCTACATGATATTTCTCTTGTTTATCTGCAATCTGGTTGCTTCGATCATCTCTAACCCTACTGCTCCAGATAATGATGGTAAGCAGCTATTCAGCTTTCTTCCCACAATTCGAAGTTTTGCATGACTGAACACCCTTATCACCGATACAGCTTCCTCCGTTAGCCAACCCTACCGAGGCGTTGACAACCAAGACCTTTGTGAGCCGATGCCACAGTTGTTGACAGGCGACACCCGTGAAGACGGTGAGTAAATATCCAAGCAAATGCTGCAGATAAAACACATCAAGGACTGAACATAATATCCGAACAGATCAACGTAGATGTTTCGGCGACGGGGACTGCCCTATCAACTTTCACTGCCACTTGGGATACTGCCTTAGAAGCCCGCGCGATAGTTTGAAAAGAGTTGTCCGTGACGATCTTCAAGGAAAGTACTGCGTTGTATTCCTGACCCGGGAGATGTGGAAAGAGAAATTAACATCATTACCTGCACTGCAGTGGGCAAGTGTAGCACCAGTGTCGACTGTCCTCCAGGATACTACTGCTGGCGTGGAGGCTGCGTTCAAATCCCACGTCCTGCTTCGGAGCCACTTCTCCGTGAAGACAGCGATCGTCAGTATTGCCCCATATCTGGTTACCCAGAGGAGTAAATATTAATGGCCTCTAAATAGAAGATTCGCCCCCTGCAGATGCGCAGCGATGTAAGCATGTGACCGATTGCCCAGTTGGCAAATGGTGCATGGACGGATTCTGCTGGCCATTTGATCAATCGACAAAGCTAGCAGCCCGTGACGCAGACATTGGAGAAGCCTCAGATGATATGAAGACTCAGCAGAGATGCCATATCCATGTGCAATGCGGGCCTGGTAGGCTCTGCATCAATGGCTGGTGCCAATATGTGACTAATACGATCTCTCTGGATACCACAGAAAGCGTTGGAGTAGAGAAACGCGACATGCAGGGACCTCGCAAATGCACGAGTGACCGAGACTGTTACCCTCGAGCGGTCTGTGTGGACGGCAGATGCAACCATTCCCACAGAGGCGAAGACTCGTAATTTTGAACCTTCTGAGAGGAAGACACCTTGAGCTAGTATTCTATATCTACTAATTGGCAATGGAGGCCTGGTGGATACGTTGCCTTCAATTATTTTGTTCCTAGGCTACTACTTGAGTAGCAGCTGCTAGAGAGACTTACATACATGACATCAGATAAGTAGAAGAGAAAACCATGTCCACCATTTTAAACCAGTAGCTTCTCTTCAATACGAGTTGGTGTATTATTTGTAACGCAGGCCTAGCGAACAGCCTGAAGGTCCTGATATGCCCCACTATCTCAATTACACTGACTCAATACGCCCTTGAGGTGACACTGCATTGCCCGTCCCGCTCCTCTGTATTGCTTTCGCCAGTCGTTGCGCCGTAGCCTCTACTGCCACAGATATTAAAGTTAAGTAGAAGGCAGAGACTTGCCAAAAGGCACTACCAATCAGTGGATAGAATTTGAAAATAGAAATACTAAGACAAGATGTTCAATCCACAGTAGGTCCATTGTACTGGTCCCGTATGCAGAATAGTAATGGTCAACCAGTACATTAGACCCGAACATAGGTTTGAGTTCTACCGAGAACCCATAGGTTTAAGTATTACGCAACGGGTGGCTAAGAGTAATGGTGTTCTGGTCTATGGGGGATACGATTCATCAATTCAGTACCTATACTCAGTTTTACAAGAAACAACTTAAAAGTTTCCCATGATAGGCGAGGCATTGCTCTGCTCAGCTTCACGCTTTAATAGAACGTCAAAGGGAAAATTGACAAGATCTTTTCGAAGGTCTAACCCATTTTAAGACTGGAAAGCCGAATTGGACACCAGGTAGCCTCAAATTTGGGCTCTGCTCCACTAGGGTAAACGGGGGCCCATCCAATGCTCCTTGTTCAGGACGAGCGCCCGAGCAGCCACCCCAACTTAGTTCTAATGAAGTGGGTATTCATTAGAAATATTAACGTAATACCTGTAGCAGTAGACATATAGCTCATGGGCCTTATAGGCCTTTACTACTACTAGTAAGGACCGGTCATACAACCTCGCAGGATGACTAAGCTCGGTTATCCCCTGCTTTATATAGGAAATCCCACAGACTGATTTAGGGGCAGAGAACCAGGACGTTACATGCAAAGGTATGCATATAGAATGCTAAAATTAGACTGGAGTGATGGAGGACCCTTAAGCATACACATAACTCAAATACTAGCCTTAATAAAACGTTCACCCGTCCCCTAAAAGTGGAGGGTAGATTTAAAGCAAACCATAAGTGTTGCTACTCTCTCAACCCTTTCTCGACTTTCAACAGATTCGCCAAATCCTAGTCTGTCATGATGGCCTTCCACGGCCCTACATGGCATCCTCTGACTCTGCTGCTCGCATCTCTCGTTGTGCAGGTATTTTCCCTCTCTATTTCTGAAACACCGTGCGACAGTAAGTAGCCACTTCCACCTCTGCTTTATATTTACTGGAATTATTAACAATTATGTGGCGAGGATTCCACACCAGACTGTGAACCACGGTATGCCATCGGTTCCAGTGACACAAATTTGATTGGGCACTCACCGCAAACATTATAGAACATGTTCAGGGGCTTCCAGCAAGCAACGTTATATTGGATACTACGAGTCATGGCATCGTCCTCGTGGGCCCGGTATACATGAGCGATCGGAGATCAATGTGGAGCCCTGGACTGTGGGTTTAGAACACTCCCTTCCACTTGTCTAGAACCAAGCTAATATTCTAAAGCATCTCTACATGCCTTTCAATCCTTTTGGCCCCGGTTATTCTTTTGTTGCCCCCTATGACACCTGGTTTCGTAAATCCTGGAAAGACTTTACTGATCTGAAGATCAAAAGGCCGTCCCTCAAGACATACTTATCCGTATATCATTATTTGAACGAAGAAAATCAATGGCCCAACATAACTCGCTCTTTTGAGAATCGGAAGTTTTTCATTGACCAGTTCGTGAAACACATGGAAACGTACGGATTCGACGGTCTTAATCTTGACTTGTCGACTATATATATACCAGGTATTTCATGAGAAAGTGATATTTATGTACCGTGGCCTTCCTACTGATTGCTCCTGGGATAGATTATTCGCCTGATGAGGCCAAGAACTTCGTCACCTTGCTGAAGGAGCTTCGCGAGTCATTTGGTGATAAGTATGATCTATCAGCTGCCGTCGAGGCCACAGAATGTAATTTTATCCGTGAGACATATTTGATAATGGGACGATCTAATCCATAAAATAGGCGGTCTCAAGGGTCACGACCTCTCTGGAATGGCTGAACATCTTGACCATCTCACTTTCTTTTCATTCTCTCGCACCAAATGCGCGAGACGACAGCCACCAAAAACGGAAATGGATAGTGCATCTGGTGTGTTGTGGCTTTCTAGCTTTCTTTCCAAATGCTAAACTTGACTAGGTATCGAACTTAGCCTCAGACTCTTACGGCAAGCGAATATCGAGCCGAATAAACTTTCCATGGCATTGGATTTGACTGCTGATACAGACAAATTTGAAGATCCAAAGTGCAATACTGCAGGATGCCCTTCAGTACCAAATCCTTTCGTTAATACTCCGGGTTTCACTTCATATGAAATTGAACGTCTCATTGAACGCGAGTCACCAGAAATACACTATAATGAGTCCAGTGCTTATAGTTGGTTTATCTACCATGAGAAGGACCACGACTTCGATGAGGATCGATTGTATGTACCAATCCCCGTCAAAGTTTTCAGTGATGAAGCATACTGATATAAAGTAGGGTCAGATTCAAGAATGCCGAAGCGTTGAAGAAAAGGGCCGATCTTGCCAACAAACATTGTCTCGGCGGCCTTTTCGCCTCGTCCACAAGCAACGGTGGACCGGCGTCTCTGGCAAACCCTAATGATTTAGATCCGTCTGATACGAGCATGCGAGGCGCGCGTCTGGTCATTCCAAGCTGCATTACAATGGCGACGCCCTTCACTATGAGCACACAGAGCGCCAATATGAGTACTGAAACAAGTCACAGCGACGCTGACACTAATGACAATACCAAGGGCTTATCCTGCCATCCTGCGATTGGTAGTGTCCACGTTCCAATTGCTCAGCTGGATTGTGATTCTAACAGTACTTCACCTGCTTCTCACAACTCTGATGCACCAGTTAATGCCGAAGAGGGTGCCACTAGCTCTTCCCTCGCTGCTCCCCACGAAACTGGCACCCCCGACGAACACAATGCAACGGGTCCTAAGCCCATTCCTACTGTTGCCCACCGAATTGGTACTCCGATTAATAGCACAGAGAAGGCTGACGATGAGAGTACCACTCCTGATGAGCCCACAGCTGCTCCCTGAAATCCCACTGGCATATGATATCTCTATCTTGGGACCCCACTTTGACTCATCATTGGGGCGTAACGGCGGACGCAACTCTTGTGGATAGGTTCAAGGTTGAGTGGCCAAGTTATCATAAAGTGGCTGTGTCTTATCTTCAAGTGAGAACATCGTACCCTTCCGGGTGTGAGAAAATGGGCCCACGCTCAGTGTTGGTGGTTATTTGGTAAATTTCTATGTTTGTATAACCATTGAGTTGTTGACTTTTTGCCAATATAATACAACATTTTTTGTGTATTCTTTTACATACGTCAATGCATAAAGAGCATGAATCAATCCTGTTATCTTATTCGACAAATTGCCATTGTTCAAGCCGCCAAAATATATGATTTTTCACAGGAGCCGCACTTGTTAACACGATTTCAGAGGCTATCCCATTGGCGTCAGTCCATAACTTTCATTAGGGCATATAAACAACTATATGTACATCGTCACTAATACAACGCTATCATGGGATCTCATTATACACTCTATCCTCAATCTTTGGCGGTTGCAGAAAGTCCTGAGGCACAGTTTCAGGAAGCTGATTGCGTTCTGCCCATTGCCGAATAGCTTCAAAGTTCCGGCATTTATGCTGCGTATTGAAATCAACGAATGGCTCGGGGTTCTCTGGGTGGACCCAAACTTGGCCAAGGACGCCGATGTCAACGGTGCACATGAGCTGCTGTCGTATAATGTCCAGGCAATGGGCTGCGTTCATGATTAGCATACGAAGAGCGATCATATAGCGCAAACGATCAATACGTACACACGTGGCGTCGGACAATATAATCTTCGTTCACGAAGGCACCCTGGCCCTGCTCATGATAGTAGTCATAGTTGTAGTAAAGGGACTGTCTGAGGAGGTTCTATTGGTTTGTTAACACGGTCGCCTTAGTTATAAACGGTGTCAATCGGGGATAAGATAAACATACCAGACAGTGCAGATGATGCAACCCCTCAATGTTTGCAGGATACCCTCCACCATACTTTTCACTGATCTTCACTTGATCAGAAGCAAGTCCCGACTTTTGAGCCTCTTCTGCAGGGACTCTAAGACTTCTGTCTGCACGGCTGTTAGCTGGATTTCATGCTGCATAAAGCGGCTGTGAACATACAGTTGACACCAAGAGCTTCCCATGCAGCATCTACTTCAGGGCTTGCTTCTTGCCGGTATATGTTTTCTTTCAAGAACGAGCCATTGAACTGTTCTTGGTGGTATTCGATCCCGACTTCTGGGATTACGGGGGCTATACTTGTATTAGATATACATCTTTATCTTCTCTCCTCTCATGTACTTTTTTCTTCCGGACTGGGGCTAAGAACTTACAGTATTGCGTGAGTTGCCGAGTGCAGACCTTATCCAGATTATGCTCCTGACGTCCCAGAACAACGCCTACTAAGCAGGAGAATACGGCGACTGCGACCAAAAGAAACCATTTTGCACATTTCTTGAATAGACTCTCATTTTGCTTCTGCTCATGAGGCCAAGTGGCCTCCTCATCGGAGAGAAGCTTCTCGTCCACGTCAGGATCTGATACTGAATGGCGCATTCTGCCCTAAGTGTCGTGAGGAACAAATTATTCAATCGCAAGAGAAAGGAACACGACGAAGAAACAAGGGCGATATAAAGTCGGTGTACACAGTGTGGCAGGAAATTTCGAATCCGATGTTTAATTATGGCGTCCACGGTGGCCAACTCATATACGGCGCCCCACAGGAAATGGATGGCACGTTACGGAAATCGACAAGTCATTATGCAACCGAGTACAATAAAAATAGGATGTGAGACAAGGCCCGCCATTTCCAAGAAGATCCCCGAGGCAACCACTGTGTGCTGTAAGACAACAGCCCGCCTAACTGCATGTATGTCTCAGTGGTTCATCTAGCCTGCAGATGACGATTAGAGCCGATCAAATACGAGTGGCTCTTGGCCTGCGGAGAAGCTTGGGGACCCATCCACTCCACAGTCGAGACTGCGGTCCATGAGACAATGATGTAAGGCGTATCGTCTCCTAAATTAGTTCTCTACTGCGAATTTACTCCTCTTCCCATCAAGCTGCTGCCCGGTTGGGTCTTTTTACCGGCATATCCGGTCCTTTTGTGGCGACTACCCCTCGACTGCAGGGCACTTCCTGGCCTGGGGCTTGGAAAAGGTGGGATTTTTTGCGGGTCAAGGTAGCACTGCATTGTTTAGCCACAATGTATCATCCGGAACAGTTGTTATTGGTACGAAGAACGGGTTGAGTAGCTCGTGTCCATGGTGGTTCATCCGACTCAAGAGACATGCCCAATGGCAATGCCGGGACAATTTACGAGATGGAGTAACCGATATGAGTCTATATTTATAGAAGTATCTCGGTGATAGCTTCTACGAGTCTCGGAGATCCTATATAAATATTTCCTTCTTTCCTCGATGATCAGCATCCATTCAGCAAGCCTCTGAACCGGAAATCCTCTTCTACAATCAAAGTTCAATACTCTTCCAAGATGCACTTTACAAGCAAGTCCCTTCTGCTCGCCCTGGGCACTCAGATCTTGGCTGTGAACGCCGCTCCAGTCTCGAGTGCCTCTTCTTCCGAGGTCAGTCAGCCAACGCCTCCCGCCGGGGTTGCTCAGTATGGCAACTATGGAGACTATGGCAAGTACGGCAACTACGCTTCCTACGGCTCCTACAAGAGAGATGACGTCCCCGAGGGTGAGGGTGACGATGCTGAGCCTTCCAGCACGACTTCGGCCACTGAAACCCCTACCCCTACTCCTATCAACTATGGCAACTACGGCAACTACGGCCAGTATGGCTCCTATGGAGCGTACAAGTTCGAGAAGAGAGATGACAGCAGCTCCACGTCTACCTCTTCTACTACTGAGACGCCCACTGAGACGCCCATCAGCTACGGCAACTATGGCGACTACGGGAACTACGGTGGCTACGGCTCTTACGGCTCGTACAAGAGGGACGAGGTCCCCGAAGCTGACGAGAGCAAGACCACTACCGCATCTTCGACCCCTACCGCTACGCCTGTGGACTATGGCAGCTACGGTAACTACGGCCAGTATGGCTCCTACGGAAGCTACTCAGAAGCTGCTGTCGCTCAAGAATAAGCTGCGAGTGACGGTTGTGACCATGTAACACGGTCGCACTTGATGTGTAACGAGGCAACTGCCGCTATGAATGAAATTTACCGAATAATGAGGACTTCCGGCCCATGGACGTCAAGGCTGTCAGCATGAACTGAAAACGTGAGACTGCAAGGGGGAAGTGCCAGCAAGGGATGTGTGACCGTTGTTTGTGCCAGCAGCAAGGATGGCCGTGGTAGATGGTGGATTGGATGGCAATAGTTCACGTGGACGGATAATGCTTATTGAACATTCTTATCATTGATCATATGTCGTGACTAGTTAATTTAAATAGCATAAATATGTTGTGATCCATGTGTGTGCCTGCAGTATAGTGTTTTGATGTATCGGAAAAGTTCACTTGGCGATGCTTAGCCGCACTAGCGAGGCGAAACACTGAGAACTTTTCCCTCGAATTTCTGACAATCTTCCTTTCACAAAGCGAGATTGGACAATGTGCATGCCTGGATTACAGGATTACCCCGGGATCGGCAGATTTGGCGATAGTCGTGGTCGATACTTACCCCATGAGTCATGGATCTGCATCGATCCAGCTGGCGGCCGACTCCGGCGTCCACTTAAGCCCGATTATCAGGCCTCTCTGCAAAGCGTATTTGTTAAGCTGATTGCTCCTCGGGCCGATTTAAACTACAATGGGATTTAAAAATCTGACAAGTCCCCCTGTCCCTACTCGTTCTCTGAAAAAAAAACAAAAAAGCAGCGTTCTCCCTGACTCTTGCTCCTGACTCCTCGGAGCAGCCCATTCCAGCACCATGGGTTTCTTAGGTCCGTGTTGTACGCATTCGCGACTGTACGCAAGTTGCTAATATGCCGCAGAGCCAGAGAAGAGCGCCGATGGCGAACTGTCACCAGAGGCTCCTCGCTCCCCGATTAACGAGCGCAAGCTGATGGCGAAAATCGACTGGCACGTCGTACCGTGCTTGTGTCTCATGTATTTGCTCGCATTCTTAGACCGGTCAGTTGGAATGCGACTCCTAATTATACGCCGATACTAACCGAATGCGCCGACAGAGTGAACATCAGTAACGCGGCGATTCTGGGTTTACAGGAAGACCTGAACATCGAGACGGGCACGAAATACAACACCGCGTTGACGATCTTCTTTGTTCCTTACATTATTTTCGAGATCCCGTCCAACATTCTAATGAAGAAGCTGAAGCCTCATCTTTGGTGTACGATTTCCGTTAAACCTCCATGAATCGAACGAATGTTGACGGTCGCTACAGTGTCATTATGTATGTTTGGCTTCGGATTGGTCATGATCTGCCAGGGTCTGGTGTCGAACTGGGGAGGACTGATGACTACTCGCTGGTTCTTGGGCATGTTTGAGACCGGCTTGTTTCCTGGCTGTATGTTCGACTCACCCGGTTCATACGGCGGCGAGCTAACCGCGCAGGTTTCTATCTAATGGGCATGTGGTACAAGCGCAGCGAAGCCCAAAAGCGCTTCAGTTTCTTTTTCAGCTCCACCACCCTCGCCGGTGCCTTTGGTGGTCTCCTGGCCAGCGGTCTCGGCAAAATGGAAGGTCTGCGCGGCTATCGAGGCTGGCGCTGGGTGTTCATTATCGAAGGTGTTCTGACCTGCGTGGTGGCCATCATCTGCTACTTCCTGGTTACGGATTTCCCAGAAGACGCCAAGTGGCTCACTGAAGAAGAGCGCGAGTTTGTTCGCGAAAAGCTTGCTGCCGACACGGGCAAGGCTGCCCCAGATGCTCATTTAAGCTTGCGCGATGTGCTGGGTGTTTTCAAGGACTGTGAGTACTTTTCACAAATCGTCCGACTTCAGCTCCGTCGCTAACTGTCGCCTCTGCAGACAAAATCTTCATCGGTGGATGGATGTACTTCGGCCAGGTTGTCACGGCCTACGGTATGCGCTGGCATTTTTTTCTTCATGTATTCGTTCTCTCACTGACCTCTCAGGCTACGCGTACTTTGCGCCGACGATCATCAAGACCTACGGATACGGACCCATCAAGACGCAGCTTTATTCCATCCCTCCCTGGGCGGCGGCATTCGGCTTCTCCATGGTTGTCGCATTCCTTTCGGACAGGTTTCGCCATCGGTTCGCCTTCGCGTTCATCCCGATGCTGATCGCGATGGCTGGGTACGGAATCCTGCTCAATATCCACGGCGAGGCGCAACGGCACGTGCAGTACGGAGCCCTATTCCTCGTCACCATGGGTTGCTACAGCGCAATGCCAGTCCTGGTGTGTTGGTTTTCCATGAATTTAGGAGGCCATCGGCGACGGAGTGTGGGAACGGCTTGGCAGATCGGCTTCGGTAACAGTAAGTCTGTGCATTTCTCCTATCAATAACCAAGATAACTAACCACGACTTCAGTCGGAGGAATCATTTCGACGTACTCGTTCTTGCAGAAGGACGCACCGCTCTACCGCAACGGATACATCATCAGCTTGTCCTTCCTGTGTTTCTCGGCGGCCATGGCCGTCGTGTACTTCGTCGCGCTCTGGTTCGATAACCGGAAACGCGACCGGGCGATGGCGAACGGCGCCGTCGATAGCGCCGCAGAGGAGCAAGAGGAGCAAGAGGGTGACATGGCGCTGACTTATCGCTACAACTATTAATCAATTAGAAATTAATTACATGTGAATTGCCTCGAAATCTGCGCTTCTTGACGCGATCGACCCCGATACCGGACGGGAGGTAGCATCCGGAGAAATTAGAGCAACAATAGTCTAAGCTATATGTGGATCCTGACCTTGGGGTAGCAACCGAATAATGGGGCGGCCTTTCCCGACTCCTCATCTTTGCCAATGAGAGACATTTAGTGGATCTCGTAGCCCCCATATCTGGATCTCAATCCTCGGTTCCTCAGGGTCAGTTGGTCTGATCGCTAGGCTTTCGGCATTGGCAGCGACTCGGCGCTTCCGGATCACTTGGAGCTGTGCTTTCATAATTCTGGGAATTTATGCGGAGTATTCCGTGCTTAACCGTCTAAAGAGGGCTATCAATTACCTTGAAGAGTCATCGCTGGCCCCCTATCTCACTCTAATAATTCCTTTTCTCCAATGCCCAACCTGGAAAGGATGTACGGGCCCCCACCGACCCACTGTATAATGTTTATGGCCCTCCGCTGAGTCCTCTCAAGAAATGCGTCTTTTTAACCTAGCCACTGCGAGGTATAGCATTTAACTAGATGAGGGACCTGTTGATATCTCAACCAAATGGGCGGATAATTGCTCGCTGCTGGTTGAAAATAGAACTCTGGCCGGCTGTTTAAAAAAAGAAGACTGGGCAAGTCAAAATTGGATTCTCCTGGTTTTCAAACTACTGTGGCTTTAATGCATAATTTGTATGGTTTCGTGATACACCTGATTCCAATAGGATCAAATCGAGAGTAGTATTTTAAATAGAGTAGGGCTCCTTGGCGATAATTAGATTTTCTCTGGTTTTAATGCTACTGGAGTATCACTCCTGTAGTTGAAAAACCACTCTAGTTTTCGAACGCAAATTTAAAGTGCAGTTCCATCCAGTGTTCGAAACAGATACAGGATAGATTAGTTGTATCATCAAGTTATCCATAGTTATTGTTATGGACGTTTGACTTATTAACAGAAAAGAGGCAGAGATATTAAAGAAACCGAAAAGGAATCCACAGGTGCAAAGAAGCTAACACATCGTAAGGATCTTTTGTTTCTTGACAGAAGCAGGACAGTTGTTCCAAAGCTGCCTTGAGGCCTGTGTTGACTGCTTCAGGTTAGGAGAAGACCGAAGTATCACATTTGCCATTGCTCTTGACGGCCAATTCCTTGGTAGGATATACAAATACACTCCCCAAATATGAGCCCCCGTCTGCGCCTTTCTGCTCAGCGCATACCTTCTCGTAGCGACCCGTGATATCCTCCTCCTTTGATGCTATAGTTGTCAGAAAGCAATAAGAACCGCAAAATTTTCCTTTCATGCTGTCGCAAACAGTTTTTCCCTTTTTCAAGGCCACGTCTTCTTCTTTTTCAACGCCCAAGCACGAGGCTCGAACATAACGAGTCGAATCAATAGTGCCGGGATCGCAAACCATCCTCACATCGCCTGCCTCCATCACGACGCTCCATTTCCCTCCCAAACAATTCTGATCACATCCTTTGTTGGTGCGGCAGTCTTGACCAGGAGCGTATTTCGCAGCAGCCGACACAGCAATGAGTGTGGTAACGGCGAGAAGCAGCTTCATGATGGCTTTTTTGGTTATACGAAGGCAAGATCTGTGATTTGGTTCAGTTAGTGAAATGGATAGACCTAGTACAGGAGGCTCCAGAAGCTTACTAGGGGTCAGAAGGTGGATTAATATCAATGATGTAAGTCGGGGACCTGGATAGAGGATTCTGTGTGTTGGAAGAAAAAGGCTATCAGACAAGGGAGCGAGACCGTATTTATAATGAGAAAAAGCGCGCAAGAATGTTGAAAATACACCGGTTGCTTTTTCCGAGTGCTGTTTTCTTGAATACCTCACATCGTTCATCAAGCTGTAATGTAGGACTCATTTTAGTAGCTGAATACTACCTATGTTACATGTCGGAGTTACATGTAGTAGTTGTCGATCTTGATTCGGAGCCGGTGGGCCCTATAGCATCGAATCAAGAGGGTCATCAGCCCAAGGTGGATCAGGCTTTTCACTATGAAGATGCAAGAAGTCGCACTTGCAGGAATGAAGCATGAAAAAGAAACGTGACCTTTGTTCAATCAAGGGCTATAAGCCCACTCCGAAAGTGCCGGATCAATGGTCGATCTTTCCTTCCCAAAATGCAAGGGGTCTATTCACTGTGCAAAGATCTCAGCTACACCATATTTTAAGTGGGACCATGAGAGGAGCAATGTATCAGAATTGGTCGAGATATGCACAGTACTGAAGTGGCTCCATAGTGATTGAGATCTCATAGCAAGGATCTCGGGGGACTTCGGGGCGGGGCTAGCAGGTTCCTGGTCATCTCCTCTCCACTGGATATTGGAATTTGGAATTTGGATCGCATACCATATGATATATCTGGAAATTGAGGATAATGAATATGATGATTTCCATGCCATATTCTCAATAAGGATAGAAGAATGTTTTGGGAATATCTGCACAAGTATAACTCTTAATTCCCTGTCTTCATCACTATAGACAGTTAATACTTAGTTATATAATTTAGTTAATAGTTAATCATACCACTTCTTGATATCATTCAATGAAGATTTATATCCAAAAATTGTATAAATAATATATAAGCTATGACATTTGGTATATTAGTGTCTCTTTTATCCACTGGATATCTGAGGATATCCAGAGAATATTGAGTAGAATGCTGTATCCACCAGTTTCAGAATTGAGGACAATAGAGAACATACTATATCCGCAGTTTGCGGAGAGCATATGTAGATATGATATATCCATGGATGTTGAGGATGTTGCCGCAGTCGAAAGTATTTGCTTCCACGTGCTACCAATATATTTACTTCTCCGAGCCAGCCACAGCCCGCTGCCAAAATAACGATATACATCCCACTAGGAACCCAGCCAATAACCCCATCGCCAAAACCAATCTCCCAAACCCACCGCGAATTGAAGTGGGAAGCAAGCGGAATGCCAATGCTTGGCAGTCGCGCTGCTACAAAGATCAAGCTCCAGCGCCATTCTTGGCCTTCCAATGGGACCAGATGTCCATTGCACGCGGTTCTACTACGGACACAGGTGTCAGTCTGTCTCGACTATCAACCGGTATTAGTATGAGGGATGGTGGTTTCAGACCATACAGAATCCCCGATGTCCATATAGCCGAGTCTTGGCTTCCTGTACACTTGTGATGAGCTCTCGCGAACTTGCTATGTTCTTCTTTGTCACTTTTATTTCAATTCTGTCCAATTGCTGACTCGGTGCACTGCACGCGATGATAAACGTCCACTGGCTGGGAGGCATGTGTACGATGTGTTTATTTCCATTGGTTTTCGGGCTGTGCCAGAGGTCCGGGCATAGAGGGCAGGTATTGAGAAGTCGCGCCTTCCTCCAGGCGAAGATGGCTACAGCAGTATGGAAATTTATTAGTTTATCGGGTTATAAATAGGCAGGCTATTGCGGCGTCAATAGAGCATAGGAATTACCTCAATATCATCACACAGTATGGTGTATACATCTACCCTCCTCTCCTTGCTTGCCTTGTCCACAGGGACGTGGGCGAGCTACAATGCGAACTTGAACTATCGCAGCCCTTCGACCCGCCACACGGGCATGGGGATCAACATCGACTCCGTCCACCGTCGTAGTCTCGCAAAACGTGATGAAGCCCCCTTCCACCCCTCGCAATTGAACTTCACCCATGGTGTAGCATCAGGTGACCCCTACGCGGACAGTGTGATCCTCTGGACTCGTGTTGCTCCATCCCTGGAGGCCGACAGAAGCAATGTGACTGTGTCGGGGACCGTGGGGTTGTACAACCATGATACGGAACCGTATATCAAGGCCTCGGCGCATCCTATCTGTGTCGATTATCAGGTGTATGAGGATAAAGAGGGCCAAAGGGTGGTTGATAAAGGAAGGGCTTATACTACCAGTGATATCGACTATACTCTCAAGGTATGGCGACGGATGCCCTGTTTCTCCTAAATCGTATTGACTATTCGACAGGTAGAAGCCAGCGGACTCAAGCCGTTCACGACATACTGGTACCAATTCCAGATTTGTAACTCGAATGTCACCAGTCCGCTTGGAAGGACCAAGACCGCCCCGGGCGCGATGATGCTACTGAGGAAATTAATCTGGCTGTGTATTCTTGCAGCAATTACCGTATGTGCGCACTTCTCTCTGGTGTTGTCGGAGCTAACCAAACTAGCGAGTGGGTATTTCAACGCATACGGAAATGCCGTCCGCAAGGACAGCGTCGACTATGTGCTTCATCTCGGAGATTATATTTATGAATATGAGAAGGGCGTAGTCGGACAGGACGAGCGAGCTGCCCGTCCGCAGGCAGATATCTTCTCTCTCTATGATTATCGGACTCGACTTGGACAAGTATGATCTCCCCCACTATCCGTTATGATTCCTACTAAATATTCGTAGTATCGCACCGATCTTGACCTTGCCGCATCCCATCAGAACTTTGCCTGGATTCCTATCTGGGATGACCACGGTATGACCATGCATTCAGCCCGTTAACACCACTCGCTGATGATGTAGAAATTGCCGACAACGGCTACAGAGATGGCTTCAGCCGTCTTAACAATACCGAAGAGTCGTTCCGCAATGACAGCCCTCAAATCAGCGTCGACCAGCGCAAGATGAACGCCGTCCGGGCGTACTTCGAGTGGATGCCTCTTCGGTTTGTGTCCCTGATGGCTCAGCCCTGTGACAATCATCCTAATATTGCTCTAGTCAGGTCGACATGGATGACGGCCTCCGCATTTGGCGCTCCTTCAAGATGGGAAACCTCTTTGATTTGATCATGTTGGATACACGCAATTACGATCGCAGCATTACTGACCTTTGTATGTATATCCCTCCTGGCGAAGACACAAGCTAACGTGTCAGACTGGAATACGGACTATATCGAAGAGATCCACAACGACGCCGGCCGGACCTTGATGGGAGGTCGTCAGGAGTCGTGGTTCGAGAAGCAGCTGACAGCGTCTAATCAGCGCGGAGCGAAGTGGCGTATTATCGGGAGTCAGCTCCGGTTTGCTCGTCTGGGACGGGAGACTAACGGCGAGGTCACTTATAACTTGGATTCCTGGGAGGTGAGTGTCCCATGTCTCCGCAGATGGTCACATTGCTCACGGAGTAGGGTTACCGCGCGAACCAAAACCGGACCCTGAAGCACCTGTACGATAACAACATCGGCAACAACATTATGATCGCGGGTGATACGCATGTCAACTGGGTGAGTCTTTTCGACCACGGTATATGTGCAGTTCTGACTGGAGCAGGTGAGCGACATTGCCTGGATCGGCGAGAAGCCGTATGACGGCAGCACCGGTGCCGGTGCCATCGGAGTCGAATTTGCTGGCACAGCGGTGAGCAGCTCTGGGTTCGGGGGTACTATCAACAGCGCCGAGCAGACTGCTGCTTCCTACGCGCGCAACGAGGATCTGCAGTGGAATGAAGGCTACTACCGCGGGTACTTTGAGCTGCGGATGAGACCGAGCGAGGTGGAGGCCAAATACTTTGGTATGCTGGATGATACCGGTTGTGGTTATACATACTAACTAACGGTATAGGTTGTCCTACTGTGGCTACCCGGAATAGCTGGGAAATTCCCCTGGCCAACTTCACGGTCAAGCATGACGATAACCATCTGGCTCGGCCGATTGCTGGTGGACAGGTGGAAGCGGGTTTTGTCCATCAGGGCGAGGTGAAGCACAGCAATCTTACCCTTAACACTGAGACGGGCGAGTGGCAGGTCATTGGGTTTGACCAGATGTTTATCAAGTATCAGTAGTTGGTTGTATGTATAAACTGTAGACTGTCTGGGGATAGGCAAGTTCAAGCGACCTTCCTGGAAAATGTATATACTACTCATGCATTGATCAGCTTGTTTAAAATCCTTACTCTGGCATAATGGACGTTGGTATTGAGTCCAGTGATGCTGGCACGTGGAAAAACCACGAGATGTGCCTCAACCCTAAAGGCCCTGATCAGTTGGACATAATCATAAAAGAACCTCTGTCATCGCATCCTCAGTCAGAACAGGACAAGCACGGACCTAAACACTATATAAAGGCGTGAGCAATGATACCCTAACACGAACACCAACCTCAAACCCAGCTGCCATAAGCAACAACACCGCAACATCTACATCACAGTAGACATACATACCAACTCTCTGATACCCACAAAAAGAAAGAGAATACCCACCCAATTCACATGGCAAACTGCCAGACACACCGTCCCCACATTTCATCCTTAGCGCTCCCAGCGTCCAAACCAATGTCGCCATTTGCCCCGTTTCGCAACTGCCCAGAAGAGTCCCATTGGGCATAGATTGACAGCACAAGACCCACTGGGTTATCAATCAGCGCTTTGGTTTGCTTTTAGGCTGCTTTTCCATTCTACTCTTGCCTCTGAATTTAAGTCGCAAAGCGGATTTCTCTTCATTCGGGTCTTTCTCTTGCATTTGTTTTCTTGACTTTCACTCGACTCTCCACTCTACGGTTATTCATTCATTTTCCTTCCCTGTCGACACGTACTATAACCACATCGCTCATTCTTTTTTTCCTTCCTTCTATAGTATAATAATATCCTCGGATTAGAAGAGAAGGAGGAGAACTTAAGGTCCGCTACATCCCCATTCCCATCCGCATCCCGACTCACCTAATTAGCCACAACCCCCAGCCAAACCGAAACAACCTACATATAGACGAACGAAAATGGTCCTCATCACGCGCAGCATCTCTCTCACCAACTTCCTCGTCGCATCCTCCGCTCTCGCCTTCCAGGTCTTCGTCCTCTATCCCTGGCACAAGCAGCTCGACGAGAGCTTCGAGGATCTGAAGAAGGAGCATCTACGGGTCCTGCAGGTTTTGGATCGGGTCGAGCATGGCAAGGCTGGCAGTAGCAGTGGCAGTGGCAGTGGGAGTGTCACTGGGGGTAGTAGTATTCGGGAGCAGATTGAGATGAAGAGACAGGGTCTTTGAGAACTTTGGTCTGGGGAGGCGTCATTGGGAGTAGAGCTTGGTTTCTTGGGTAGAGGAGAGTTGTTGCATGCTGGGGTATAGCCTGTATAGTCTCAGACTCTTATAGAGGATAGATTCATGAATGTCATTTTCTTTTTTTTCTTTTCATTTTGCTCGGAGTGTATTCAGCTTTTGGTGTGGTTTATCCTCGGTGCATGGTATTCATGGTATTCATGGATTGTCAAGGAAATCTGCGTAAGACGTTTGTTCCTTGCCGGGGACTCCCCCATACTTGTTTGATGTTGACGGTTTTTCGGCTCCGACTGCGCCGAGTCGGGTCCGACTCTGTGCCGAGTTATCTCCTTTCTTGGTTTTATCTACTGTGGATTGTCTGGATGTCATGCTTGGACACGATCTGGGGAACGTTTAGATACGAGAAATAACATTTGTGGAGTACTCCGAGTCTAATTGTTTAACCGGGTATGTACATACATCCTTCTAATCTATCTACGCGAATGGGATCAGGTCATCTGAGCAGTCGTAATTCATTTTATCTAGATCATGGATTTCGCCGGACGATCGCTGCCAACATCAGAAGACGCTCCATCCAGTCATCGCGGTCATTCATTATAGGCACATTCAATTCACAGATACAAAGAAACGCATCCAATCACGATCCATGCAACAACAGGGATTGGAAAAGGGAAATCAACCCACTATGCAAACAAGTACTTGGCCGCGTGCTCGACGTGGTCGTCCGCGAACGTCGCCATCGTGTAGTAGCTGTGGTCATAGTCCGGCTGGTAGCGGACCTTGAGGCCCTCGACGCCGGCCTCCTTGGCCGCCTTCTCGAAGTTCTCGGGCAGAAGCTGGCCCTGCTTGTAGAAGTTGTCGCCGGTACCCTGTTTCAGTCAGCACAAGTTACACCAACACAGCAGAGAAACAAGACATACCACGTCAATGAGCACATCCAACGGCCCCTTCCACTTCTTCACGAGCTCTGTCGCGTCGTGCTCCTTCCACTTCTCCTGCTGGTCCTCGCCGAAGTAGCCACCGAAGGCCTTCTGGCCCCATGGGCAGTTGATGGGGTTGGAGATGGGTGCAAAGGCGGAGACGGACTTGTACTTGCCCGGGTTGCGGAGGAACTATCCGTTATCAATATCTATGCATAGCCGGGATATTCGCGAGAGAAAGGAACATACCAGGGTCAGAGCACCATGGCCACCCATACTGTGACCGGTGATACTGACACGGCTCTCATCCAGCTGAGGGAACGCGGCAAAGACGGTCTTGGGCAGCTCCTCCGTCACGTAGGTGTACATGTTGTAGCCACCCTGGTAGGGCGCCTTGGTGGCATCCACGTAGAATCCGGCACCGGTGCCGAAGTCCCAGGAGTCGTCCTCGCCCTGAATGTTCAATCCTCCTACATCCTTGTTAGCCGCTGTCCCCTCTCTCGTCGACATGGCTCAATGGTTTATGGCAACCTACGCGGGCTGGTGTCCGGGTAAAGCACAGCGATACCCTTCTTGCTGGCGCCGTGCTGGAAGAAGCCCTTCTCGGAGCAATTGTTGGCCGTGCAGGTCAGACCGGACAGGTAGATGAGGACGGGGACTTTCTGCGAGGGGTTCTGGAAGGCCTGGGGCGGCAGGTAGAGGTTGAAGGACATTTCGCAACGGGTGGAGGTGGCGGCATGGCTGAGCTTGAGCAGCTTTCCGCCGAAGGAGGCGATGGTTGCTTGCGTTGTGACGGACATGATGTGGTCTTTTTGGTAGAGAATGATATTGAGGATGCGGAACTGGTGAAGACGTAAAAAAGAGAAGGGAAAAAAAAGAAAAGAACCGGACTCTATGGGGCTGAGAGGGAGTTAAATTGACGTGTGGATCAATGAGGAGTGGATGAGGGGAACAGAATTGATGAGGGGCAGTCAGTGAACTCCCCACCTCCTGCTCACTTATCGTCTGCCGGCTATAAAATCATCAGAGCTTCCCCTCATCGCACACAACAACCTCTTGCACCAAAGGTCCCCACCGCGGGGATCTTTTTACTCTTTTAGGAGATCCAGGAGATCATAATGGAACGAATATACTCATATATTATGTATGGTATGAAGAAAAAGGTACCGTCACGCCATGAAAATGCCCGAATAACAATGCTCCTCTACCATAGAAAACAAACCAAAACAATCATCATCAAGAATCCAAAAACAAAACGCTCACACTACCCAGATGCTTATTCCAAAAACACCGATGGAACACCGTAAATCACTGGAGCCGCTCCGTTCAAATACTTCAACACACACGCCGGTCGCGACTGCGACACGGCTTCATCCAAGGTTGCCCCGTCCGATCCGGAATCAAACAAGCCCCATTTATCAAACGTAGACTGCGCAAACCGATCGATATCCTTATCGGTAACGTCCCAAAGGGTCGCAACGAGCGCGGGGCTGCCAGCGTGCAGATAGTTCATCGGCGTGCCGTAAGGCTCGTACTCGCCCGCCTCCGTCAAGGTACCACTGCTGCATCCCATCAGGAACGCAACGGCACATTGCTCCAGTCGCTTGACCGTCCGCCCTCGAATGTATTGCGCACCACTGCCGTGTCCAAAGTACAGGAAGAGATTCGTCGTCTCCAGGCCGCGCTTGAACTCGTCTTCGCTCGGCTCGCGCTGCATAATACCAGTCCAGCCCTGCAACGCAGACAGATCCTTCTCAAACGTGCCCTGTGTCGTGCGAAGATCGCCAGTAGGGTTGAGAATGTAGGTGCCACTATGGCGATCAATGCCCACGCCCCGGCTAAGGTCAGAGTTCCGCTTGTCCTGAAACTGCAGAACTCGGTCACGTAGACATTCCAAGGACGGCACGCGGCACACGGGGAATCCTTGTAGACATGGGAGAGATTCCCACGGGAAGAGGTGGAGGGATTTATCGAGAACCAAGACGGTATGGTTGGGGGTGTGTTTACCCCGGCGGTTGCTGGCGGCGTCATGGTAGGCCCGAACCGCGTCAAGGGTTTCAACCACCATCATATCAAAATCAATCTCATCGTAGGCATTGCGCTCGCCCTGGAACTGTAGGATATCCACCACGAAGTATAGAAGGTCCATCAGCGTCTCCTCCGGATCTTCTTGGTCGTCCAGGTCCGCGACACCGATAAACAGTTCCAGCACGTTTGGGTGCAGCGTCAGGCGCGGCCCCTCCGCCCGACCGCCCTTCTGGCGAGAGGGAAGGTGTTTGTCTAAGATGGTCTGGAATGAAGACGCGAATCGTGCTAGAGAGGTAGTATCATGGGGCAGGGGGGAGAAAATGCCTCGGAATCCCCCGAACCATACATTCTCAATGTTTTGCAACAGAGTCTCCATCCGGCGATCTAGAGCCTCCCGGTTTCTCCACCAGTCCTTCTTCATTTGCCGATCCGTTTGGGCTTTAGCCGCGTGGGAACTTTCGTTAGCCAGTTTGATCAGTTCCTGCATCTCCTCACGTCCGTCGTCGAAAGTAAACTGTTCATCCTCCTCCTCAGAATTGCCTCTCTTCAACGGAAGCCGCAGAAGGAAGGGCGAACGACCTTGATGTAGTCGTGAGACAATGAACTCACTCCGGTCTGCGCTCAACGATAAAGAAAGGACATTCCAATTGTCGGGCAGGATATCGATATATTCTTCTGCAAATTTCGAGCTACACAGATCCTCGGGGTCCGCCGTCATTGCGGAGGGTGTAGGCCAAAGAAGCGGGTCGTTGTATTCCGCCAGCTGCTTGTCAAGGTCAATAGCGGTATGCTCGCGCGTAAAGGCACCGATACGGCCAAGTTCTATCCGGGTTAGAAGGTGATAGGCAAAGGAGGACTTGTAGACTTACCATTAACATTGGCTGGAGGCTGCGACCAGGCGGATGTGCTCTCAGCGGCCGTAACATGAGACAGCATGGAGATACGACTCATCAGGCGTGACGCAGAGTGGCTATCCAACGTGGAGCCCACGGTGGTAGCAGTAGAAAACACATTGTTAAGACAATCGCCAGCCTTGGAAAGCATCACAGCAAAGTCTTCGCTTGCGGTCTGCGCTCGGGACCGTGTCCCTCTGGCGGGGGCGCGAGGCTTTCGGGCCGTATTTTTGGTGGCAGCCTTGGATGTACCGGTAGTCTTACTTGGGGATTGCAGGGAAGGCAGCGAAATGGTCGACTCGGGAAGAACACAGTATACAGCATGAGAAGCAAAGTGGCGAATAGCCTCGGCGAGGAAATGCTCACTTTCTCCAAGATGCACGGAAATCTGACTGTCCCTAGAGACTGCATATTTCCGGGCGTTGTTGAGCAAACATGAGGCTTTCTCGAAATCTCGTAAAGAGCGGCAGCAAGCGGCCTGTTGCCGTAGGATGTCGCTTCTGATCTGCAGCAGGGACTGTGATTCAGTGACGGTATCGGCGGCTTTCGAAGGGGTGGCATCTGCCTTGGTGGGTTTCCGAGTTGAGGTAGTGGCACGGGTCCGCCGAGTGGTCGCGGCGGGCTGCTTCGTCCTTCTACTAGCCGGTCGGATTCGGAGACTCTCCATTTTGTCTTCTAGTTCTGGGACACCCGAGGAAACTGAAGCCGCATCAGAGACATCCGGACTGCCAAATTCATTCATGATCCGGTCCGCCTCCAGAAGGGCCTGAAGTTCCTCACGGTAGTGGCCCTGCGCTCTGTAAAGAGAGGCAAGACCTATCTGCAGCGATGCGAGTTCAACACTACTCTCTAGCTGCTTCGACAATGTCTCGGCAGCTGTGAGGAGCTCTTGACCTTCAGAGATATGCCCCCCGAGAATCCAATGTGACCCAAGTTGCGCTTGAGAATTGATCAAACGAACAGGCGCGTTCAGGGTCTTGTTAATCTTCAACGCCTGCTCGCCGTAGTAGATGGCATCCTGGAACAGGCCGTGGTGTGCAGATAGACTCGCAAGGTTCAAGAGAGAGGTGTGATGCGAGCCGATGTGCGGCCAAAAAGGGGCTCCCTGTGTATAGACAGAAGTCGTTGTATGGTTCGCCTGTGATACATCAAGCTTGGCCATGGTTTCAACAACGTTGTCAAGCTCGGAGCTATCCCCTACGGAAATAACGGGCACAGGCAAACTCTTTTCCTGTTTCCTCTGCGAGATTTTCTCAACCTTAGCCCAGATCCTGCAGTTCAACCGCACAGATAGCTTAGCAAAAAAGAGGGCGTCCTTGATAACCCCCTGAGCGAAGGAGAGCTGTGAGCTCATAAAGGCCGCATCCGCGACCAATCGTTCCCAGGCAATCTTGGCCAGAACAGAGCAGCCGTTCAAATCTTGCTTTTTCTGGTTTGACTCGTAGAGACTTCTAGCTGCTGATAGGGTGGCCGCCGCCTTCTCAGTCTCGCCTATTTCGATAAGGAAGGCTACCCGTGCCAGTTTGTGTGATAGGGTGGCCAGGCAAGAGACGTTAGGGCCGAGGTACTGCTCTGCGCGAGTTAGAAGATCGCCGGCCTTTTTGCAGTATCCAAGTCGACAATACTGCTGTACCAGACGCGCGATTACGATGATGGCTTCAGAAAAGTCACCGCCTTCTTGAAGCTCCGTGACTCGTAAGACCAGCTCGAGCGTTGAAAGCTGGAGCTTCCAAAGCCCATGGATTTCTGTGTAGTCAACTATAGCCTTCAGCTGGAGGAGGTAGTGTTCAACATCGCCAACGTATTGGATCAAGGTAACTCCATTGTTGCAGTTGCGCATCAAAGAGGTCCACGACGATATCATGAGGTTGAGAGTTTCAGGCTGTAAATCCCCCTGCAGAAGGCCAACGCTCAGACGCACAGAATTATGCAAATGAGTCGCTAAAGTCGCCAGAGCACCATCTTGGCGTAGTCCCCAGCCTCGATAGCCTCCAGACCTTCCTCGTGCAATTTGTGTAATACTGTCGACTCCAAACAGTTCGGGCGTTCCAGGGACGAACGCAGCCCGCCCAAGACTACTCGTAACCGACGAATGGGGTAAATCTCCGGATCGTACAGCCCAAGCAGCTTGGACACAAGGCAAGTAAAGTGTGATCGAAAGGCTTCATCGCTGGAAGCATGGGAATGTAGCTCTGCCAGAATGCCCATTTGCCATTCCATGATATGGCCTCTCACCAGTAGCGATTGCGACTCGTCGTCAAAGAACCCGGTAGACTTTGACTTCCCACGCAGCCTCAGTTGCAACTTCAGGTATGCGGTAAGGACTCGACCAAGCATGAACCCGTTACTTTTGGGATCCTGGCAAGTTCGGTGAGGAAAGTTGGGACTGGAAACCAAGCCGTCCAACACTCCTGTGTCAATATGCTCTTGGATGGCCTGGGAGAAGGCCTGCTCGGCTTCTGCGCCCCTGTTTCCTTCCATGTAAAGATACGCAAGGCGTTCATACTTCAAAGCCGCGAACCCCGTGATTCGTTGTTCTGGTGAGCAACTGGACAAAAGATGTGCAGAGTGCTTCACAAGAGGCACCAGCTCACTATATCCCTTCCCACGCTCTTTCTCCTTCAGATAACGTGACCAAAACAGATTTGACAGCCGAACGAATGCCGCACCAATTTGATCGAGTACTGACGGATCAGCTTCTTCGTCCACGACGTCAATAGCCGTCAAAAGACGCTGGCAGTCGGTCAATGCGGAAAGCACATCTTCCCAGGGAGGCCGTTGTGACATGATTGAGAATTTACCGACAGCGAGCGCTGAGTCCACTGCCGAGAGGACAATGTTTCTGCACGCGCGAACCCGCGTAAGAAATAAGTCATCCTCCTTTGGCTCATTATCGGACGAAGATGGTCGACCAACGTAGCGACGCAAAAACCGCAAGAAAGCGGGGAGATATTCGTATATTTGGGAAATGTCAATACCATTCTTTTCCCCTGCCTTGGTAACCAAGTCTCCATAGGCGCTCATGGTAAGCTTTTTCAGTTTTGCTGCTTCAACCAGCAGCTCGTCGAGGTCACTGAGACTCCCTTTCAAGGGCATGCTCAGTGAGGAGGTCGCATCAGATACAACATTCGTAACCTTGTTGAGCGATGGTTTGGAAGATTTGTTAGCTTGAAGGTGCAAAGTTGCAATCTTGCAACGAACAGTGGCGAGCGAGAGGCATTGTCCGCTTGAGAGTGGGTTGACAGCTTCGGTGAAAAGCTTCAGAGCTTCGTCAAAGCATCCAGCCTCTTGAGCAAGGTGACCTAATATAGTAGCAATTCGGGCAACCGAGACATTGTCTCTCAGACTAGCCGTGGTGCGCTTTTGCGTGTTAGCAACAGCGGTCTGAAGTCGAATGATTGTTTTATAAATGGACGCAAACTCGGCTTTCTCGATACCCTTGCTGTGGTGAGAGTAGTTGGCAAGGTATCGCGTCAATGGGTCCCACATCTCTTTGCCTTCATCACAGGTATGACCAGACAGCTTCCAGCTCATGCATCGGATCTCCAAGGACAGTAACTGAAGGGACAACGAAGTGGATGGCTTCAGACGATCGCGTGTTGTGAGACGATTCGATGGCTGCTGGACTCCGGCTAGGGATAACACAGTATTGGAGAGCAGTTGGAGTTGAAGTGCTGCTTTATCTGTGGTGAGAGCACCCGATTCCGTGGCCGCCACGATGACATTCGCTGGGCTGCTCAATTCGGACAACTGCAGTGAGGACGCGACTTTCTGGACAGTTGCAAGTTTCTTTTCCGATGCTATCAGCCGTAGGGTATTAGATTGAAAGGGAACAAGCACGCTTAGCACCGGACCGGCGTGGTCAAAATTGGCAAATGTAAGCAAGTCAGACATCCGTTCTTTGGCGCTTTCCTCCTCCTGAACCTCATTTTTCCTCCTGCTCGTAGTTTTTGATCGCATTGTAGCCTGGCTGTCCAGATATTGTTGTAGCCTTCTCTTAAGTCCTCTCAGTTCTTTAGAAGCCATGTCATTCAGCCCCAGTGACAGATACCTCCCCGCCAAGACGCATGCACCTTGCTCCAGCTGCATGTTCGGAAATCCATCCTGCTGGCCAGATTGCTCCCCTTTTAAGCTCCGTAGAGACGACAAAGCCATACTTGCACATTCCGCCACAGCCGCCAGCCCAGTATCCAGTTCATCCTCCTGTGACGTCTTCAGCTTTCTGGGCGATTTCGCGCCACGACTCGGCGAGGGGGAGCTACACGCGGTCCGAGCCCGAGCTTCATCGCGTTTAGCAGGTAGCTTGGATGCATCCGAGAGGGTTTTGAGGGTGGTGTTAAAGACATCCGTGGCGAGGACGAGCTTCTCTTGAAATGACAAACGCGCAGCATCCATTTCCACGACTGTGTTGATGGCCGCTTCATGTGCGGAGACCTTCGTCCCTCTCGACGACTTCGGCCGAGTGGAAGTCGCTGTGGTTTTCGTCGTCCTAGTTCCCCTCTTCACTGTGGTTTTATCAGACTCCGGTGACGTCTTCGATAGTCCGCGGAAAAGCGTCTGGAGGGAGATGACGGTGGCATTCGAACATGTTGACGTGGAGCGAACGGCCTGCTTCACCGATTCCACCGAGGAATCGGAGAGAAGGGAGGTGACCGCCATTGGTACAGTTGTATCCTTGCTGTGAGTATGATAAGTTAGTAGTTCAGGCCATTCGGAATGTTCGATAACGTGGTCGCTTGTGTGGCTTGTCTCCGTGACATCTGTGATGGTTATCGCTTGCCGTAAGCCAAGCCAAATGGCCGTTGTCGTAGCAACATGGGAGCCACTACACCCAGAGTGGTCTAGCGGTGCCAAGGCTCCGAGACTCCGATGTCCCGGGACTCTTTTCAATATCTCAATGGCTTCAATTGTGAATTCGACGTCGCAATCCCTCACAATACGCCCAAGATTCTGGCAAACATGTCTTTCACGAGACTTCCTACCCGGTTACTCTCCATTGCACGAGCTACACCCCAGCTTGTGGGGCACACTCCTATCCGAACGTCACACCAAATTCGTTTCGAATCCACGAGAGTCCCACGATTAGCCCAAGCCTCGATCTGGAGCTCCATGGTCCCTAAATTCATCCGAAACCGCGGTTCCAAAGAAAAAACGGCCGAGTCAGCGAAATCGAAAGAATGGAACCCCGCTAGCTTCTACATCATCATATTCATCTTGATTGGATCACAAGCGATCCGGATGATCGCGCTGAAGAACGACTACCGCGCATACACGCGGACGACAGACGCTAAGATCACGCTTCTACGAGAAGTCATTGAGCGGGTGAAGAATGGTGAGAAGGTAGACGTGGAGCGATTACTGGGGACTGGCGATCAGGGCAAGGAGAGGGAGTGGGAAGAGAGTTAGTTCTCGTTCTTTTGCATCGAGGGTTGGTTACTAACTTCTGCTGGCTAGTTCTGCATGAGATCGAGGAGGAGGACTCGTTATGGCATCAGAAGTCGAAGGATCAGGAGCCGGATCAACAATCTCAGTCGAAAGAACAGCAGGTGGAGAACTCGCAAAAAGACCCAGTTATGCCTGCTGAAGGCGCCGGAAATGAGGAGCCACCTGCAAATAGCCCCTCGAGACGGAAGATCAATTTCTTCTGAGAGTACTTTCCATGGGATTAGCCAGCTTGGGGGTACAAATTTCAGCTGTATATCTTGGCATTTAACCAATACGGGGGGCTCCGACCGGAGAGTATGGAAACCTCGTGAGTCACCTACTATGCTGCTGATGCGGCGTTACTGTGATTGGTCATTAATCTGGCCGTTCTGCATCTCTTGATAAGCGGTAGGTTGCATTGATTTTAGCGGTGCTGTATAAATGGGCTAACGACGGGTATATTCAAGGTCACCTGGTTGAGAAATTGTTTTCCACTTACACATACACTTCCTATGTATATATACGGGTCTGGACCAGCTCTTACAAGATTTTATGATACCCACACCCTTTGGACCTACAATCGTATTACTCTGGTATATATTACATGTGTTTGATGTCCAATTCATAACATATAATTCACACAATTCACACCAAATCAAGGTACATATCACACAGTTGGTACCTGTACATTCGTATATAGGACAAATTCACACGGTCTAGGACATCTCATGCAATTCGGGAATAGTGCAAATCTCTATCCCTTCCCCGGTCTATTCCTTTTTGATACAATGTGCAAATGCAAGGTGATTCTGTACGGGCATAAGAGAAAAAGAAATGGCCTTCCAATCAGAACCCCGGGTACTAAGCCAAAAGGAAACAGTTCAGACAAACAAAAGAGAGAGAGCAGAAGGTATTTCCAATCGAAGACAAAAGAAGGCAAAAACGGAACCGAAACGTCGCTAGTGAATACAAAGTCATGCTTTAGTTAGTACTGGGTGTCTGCATAAACTTGGGCCATTTGTCGGCCTGAGGAATCTTGACACGGCCAATGTTCTCGTCGAGATCCAGGATCAGCTTCAGGGCGTTTCTAGATCTGAGGTATGGCAGAGGAGCCTTGGCGCCCTGGAGGCCGACACCGGGCTCGATCTGTCCAGTTGGGGTGACTTCTTCCTGGCCGGGCATGGGCAGCCACTTCTGCAGAAGTTCATATGACGCGAGAGTGAAACCGAACTGAGGAGAAGAACGAACGATACGGGCAGGACCACCCTTGAAGAAGGCCTTAAAGCCCTCCTCCTTCAAGATCGTCTGGGCACAATGACGCAGACCAGTGTATCCGACCTCGCCCTTACGAGCCTCAACCTGGAGACGGGTCTTGATGACATCGCACGGGGTAGTCAGATATGCGGCAGGCATACCAGCGATCGCACCGGCAGTCAGCAACTGCACGACACCGAGCTTGTGGGTGGGCGATTCGCCAAAGAAGCCGCTCTTCAGGTGAGCGTAGGTCGGGAAGTAAATCGCAGAGAACGGAACTACCGAGTCACATCGATTAGATTATGGGTCCCAAACAGGCAAGGGCAGATAGGGTCCTTCTTACCATCACGCAGCAAACAGGCACTGGCTCCCTTGTACAGACCGACCAGACCCAAGTTCTTCACAATCCACAGGGCCGAACGACGAGGGGCACCCTCGACATTCTTCGCAATTTCACCCTGAACCTGCAGACGAATCTTGACGATTTCAAGAGGGTTGGTGAAAATCTAGGGAGGGTTAGCGGTGAGTCCAGAGCGATGGCGTAACGGTGGGATGCAGTGCAACTTACCACTTGGCAACCACCGGCCGTACCACCGGCAAGGATCTCGTACGGATACCAAATCTTGCCATTCTCCTTATTCGTAAAATGGCCACGGACCAAGTCGTTGACCGTCAGCTTGATGGCCTTCTCAGGCGCAACACCAATCAGCTGAGGGATAACTCCGGAATACAGGCCGGTGAAACCCTCATTACGGATAACCTTGCGCGCACAGTCGAGTGAGTTGTTGTACAGTCTTTCGCCGACGCGCGTAGACCGCTGGTTCTGCATACGAGTCTTGACCAAGTCAATGGGGTAGACCATGAAGGCACCAAAAGCTCCTGCCAAACTGCCCAGCGCGAAATGGTGAACCGACTCCAACACGTTGTACAAGACCGACTTGGTCTTGTCCGCCGCCTTATGAGCGGTTGAGACGGCGGCTTGACCAGCAATGGCAAGGGGCATCCGCCATGATGCGTCGATGACCTTGGCGAAATCCTTTTGAGCGAGACGGCCGGAGGGGGCATCCAGGCCCGCGAAGTGGAACAAGATGTCTGCTTCCATGGGGGTGAACAGGGAGAAGCGAGTGATTCGGGCCGCCTCGTTCAGGAAGTCGGCGCGGGTGATCTTCCCATCATCACTCTTCTGGGTGGCCTCACGCACAATGACATCGATCATGTCCATCTCGCGCATGATATTCTGGAAGGCACGGACGGTGGCATACGAGATCTTGGTGCCGGTGGAGATGTTGCACAGACTGGGAAGGTGCTCCAACACGTAGTCGGACAGCTTGTGTTTCGAGGTTTCCAGGATAATGCGCTGGAAGTCTTCGGGCTCGATGTAGCCATCACCGTCCTTGTCAAAGATGTGGAAAGCTTGGCGGATGCGCTCCCCTTGCAAGCCTCGGAGCATTTGCGCGAATTGCGGGTAAGTCATGTCATGGCGACTCTTCGTGCGTCCGGTGTAGAGGGAGGCCCATTCCGAGTTCCAATCAAAAGGAATGCTGTCCTTATCCTTGTTCACGTTATACAGATTCTTGAAGGTTTCCCACTTCACGGCGCCTGTGCCGTCGGTATCGAACAAACGGAAGGCGATCTCATATTCGGCATCGGGCTTCGTGAGGAGGTTCTCGAAGGTTGCCCAATCGCTGAGGCTGAGCTTGCCAGTCTGCTTGCGATCCGCAACCTTAAAGAGGATTCCGTAATGTTCACGCTTGATCTTGTGCTAGAAAGGGCGAATTGTCATGTTAGCTGAAGGTCATGCGAGCTCCGCAACGGCGATGACACATCATCGTTGTCGCAACATGAAAACAGCACCACACTCACATAATCCTCATGCTTGGGGGCAATAGCATCGATGAAATCGTCTTCCGTCATGTACAAGTCTCCGGTGCCCTCATCCTTGCGTGCGTGACGAATGAAATTCGTCTTGGCCTGGTGTGATGGTTGTGACTGATCCGTACTGGAGCCAACCAAGGACTCTTTTACCGTGTCCTTGACAGTCATTGTGATATATTTATATACGAACGCAAAAAACGAAAGGAAGCAAGCAATTGATGCAAGTCACTGAAGGAACCAAGCTCCAGGACAGATGAACACTAACTAGGAAGGTCAACCCAAGGGATCCAAACAGGAAAAGAATGGAATTATGAAGGGGTTGGGTTGGGATAAGGGAAAGTGTGTGGAGAACGGAAATTAGTTAGGGAAGAAAAAATGGGGGGAAGCGTAAAGTGATAGTACCAAAGAAGATCAGTTGTTCTGGGGATGAACAATGACTGTGTTGGCTTTGTCTTGAATGAATTTTCGGCCGTTCTATGAGGGAAAAAAAACAAAAAAAGGTTTGTCTCTATTTTATTTTCTGGTTCCTTTTTTATCTTCTACTTTTTTTTTTTTTTGTTTTTACCTTTTTGCCTCTTGAAGATCAGATACGCCGGGTAATAACCTGAGGCTGCCAATCATTGCATACTTCTTCGCTGACAGGCCACCCTGCGAGACAGCCAGAATACTCTGTCCTCGTAATAATAATACCTAATAAACATGAATAAAACTAAAAATAAAAAGAAAAAAACTCGGACAAGTCACGCTGGCCACTGGAACCAAGACACACCGCCCCTGGAATGCGTAAAATTACCCGGCACGGTGATTGATTCGCAGCTCGGGACTGAAGCCGACGGTTTCTGATTGATCTCCGCATATCCCCTCATATGTCTGTGAGTATTTGTTAAATGCCTCGTTGCGTCGTTTGTCCACTGAGCACTAGTACATTGGTTTTGAGGATTGATACATATACGGAGTACAACATCCAATCTTCCAATTGCCCCAGGTACGTTTCCAAGTTCATACGTGGAACTGCCACATCAACCCAAGAAAAATTTGGTTCCAGTAACGTGAGCTTGATTGGTGGTTCCGAGGCAGCCTTTCAAAGGAACGAGGTTCTGAGCCACACAAACACACACACACGGTAAAGTCCGGAACGTTTGCCCAGCCATGATTCGACACCCGCACCGGCTGACCCCTGGAGCATCACCGAGACTTCCAGAAGGCGTTCAAGAAAATTCTGTGAACAGGGATTGCAATGCAGATAAGAGATGAACTCCAATGAGATCCGAAGAGACAGTCGATCGCCCTTCACAGGTCCCTCGTCTGTCATGTATACACCGATCGTATCATTGTTGGCATCGATGTCGGAATCCGATGAACCGTGAGTTAGTATTAAGTATTAAGTACTGAGTAACCTGACGACTAGCAATGGCCTTCTTCACATGACACGTCTTGGGCCTCGCTGCTAGCCAAACCAACCCGTCTCGGGCCGATGTGAGCGGGTGGAAGCCCACAATTTCGAATGGTCGACAGATGCCTCCGTTCTCGGTGGGGGGAAACAGAGAAGCCGGCGGGTCCAGATTTGGAGAACCAGGAATCACGCTAAGGTACAGTAAGGCTGGAAGTCTCGGTGCCTGAGGCCTCGGCCCCGGCTGTTCTCCGTGTCCTGGTCCTGTGACCCTGCACGTCCAAGGGTTCGACTCGGTTCTCGTCCGATGTTTTTCAATCGTCCTCCAGGTTGGGGTAAAGGGAAAACCTCATCGCGGTAGATCCCTTTTCCATGCTCTCCCAGCAACCCAAAATGATACAGGGAAAATCTAAAAGCAAATCGTCACCGCTTTCCCATTTAATTAACCCAATCCTCCTCGCTTAGCAATACAGACCGTATGATCACGTTGCCAGGCATCGAAGAACATACCAAATCTCACCGAAAACAACAAACTGGTCTAGTTCCCCCTCTCGGCATCTTACGGAAGAACAGAATCCTCCAAGAAACAACCATGGTGAGTAAAGCTACGGAATTGGCAAATCTCATGCGGGGAAAGGTGTTTAACTTGCCCGGGAAGGCAGTGGATCTACATAAGCAGATAAAGTGCATCGCCGTAGGTCTAAATTATTATTAAGTAAAAAGTACTGCTAAGACTCCATTATTTCTGCCGAGTCGAGTATGTCTACCCGGGCGTCTAACCCCGTCGGTCGGATAATTGAGGGAAATTGTTACCTCGTCGAGCGAAACTGGGGTGATCTGTGACTGGGTTAGCTTGGAGCTACTCTGGTTATGTTGGGGTTTTATGTGCATAATCATGTTGCTGTCTTGATGTTGATGTACGCCCTACTCAGGTTAAACTTGGATATATATAGGATATTTCATGAACAAATGGATCGATTTCCTTCAGTAAGAAATAACATATAATCAGTACTAAGAATTAACAAACAGAATCTGGAAAGTGCCGAATAACAATATCCTATAGAAGGGTACTACAAGTAGCTATAGCGGTTACGCGAAAATATATATCGGTGATATCTTACACGTGACATTAACCCACGTTACCTCGGACGAGTGTATTTCATCCAAAACAACAAAGAACTCCCGAGGTCAAATAGCATAAATCGCATTCTATTGCAAATAAAAGCATTGTGTCGCAGTCAAACTATATTCGCGTTGCTATACCAACCTGGATAGCATGAGAAGCCTCACTTGGCGCGCCGCCTGTGCTTAACGCGCCGGGGAGCAACTGAAATAGGCCAGTCTTCTAATACCGGCTTCTACTAAAATGGATTGTAGCTTGTAGGCTGACCGAATCATGGGAAGTCCAATTTCGATACTTCTTTGAACTTTCACTCGCGTTCAGTATTCCGTCGTCGTTACAGATCCCGGAAGACTGTGCTTCCACAATCCATTTCGTGGCATTTACTGCTGTCGAACACCAAGAAATGTCACTTCCTTCCGTCGTTCCTACGAGTCCATCGAGGACGCAAAGGAATCATGGAGTAGAAAGCTATAGAGTGGGGAGTTATCACCCCACAGCGGTCAGGGTCCGGTTTCGCGATCGCCATCAGGTGGTTCACAAATCTCGGCCACTGCACACACTCGATGACATGGCTGACTCAAGATCAAAAATTCGAGCAATATGTCGCCATCAAAGTGTGCTCTCCAACCTTCAACGGAGCCCGGTCGCAAGCTTAGGGCGAACCATGATAATCATGGTATTAGAAAGGTTCGATATCTAGAATCCGAAGGACACAAACATGCCTGCTATGTGACAATCCGGCAAGAATGAGCCTACCTGAGGCCAGGTTTCAGGACGTGGTTCTGCGCCATCAGGGCCAATTCTGCGTTGAGATTCATCTCCAGGCAAATAATGCTGTTCTGTGCAATATTCTACTAATATTCCTACCTCACGAATGCACAAGATGCATCTCATCGATGGTACAGGGCCACCCAAGCTTCCGGTTCTCCAAGCTCAAAGCAGCCCATGGTGCCATGCGCTGCGGCCGCTATCCTGATGCTGATGAGTAGCCAGTGCGGTTAAAGTCTGATAGCACACATGAGACGCACATTTTAGTGGGAAAAGGCTGGGTTCTCCAGAAACCTGGGAAACGACAAGGCTCGAAACAAGGTTATATTTGATGGAATGTCTGAAGTAGCTCTTACGGGCAAGTTGTCATCTACTTTTCCTCTCAATCAACTCGCTGGGCGTATATTCATCATAAACAGCCCGAAGACCACACAATGCTCCAAATCGACCCCCAATCCCCACCACGACATGCGTAAGCAGCCATCGCGCATAGAACGGCCCATCCATAATTACAGGCCAATTGTCCAACCTATGAAAAATTATCCACAACTGAAGCATAAACATCACGCTTCCAAGCCAGCCCTTCCCACTATGCCCTAGTATAACACTATTCAAGTTTCGAAAGAAGACTTCTTTCAATCCATCCGCGGGATCGGTCCACTCCTGGACGATCAGTTCGTCGTCGACATCGGGGTCGCCGTCAAGAACGCGACTCCACTCGTGGACGGCAAACTTGGGGATTGTAATGATCCCATCGGATGGACGGTACGTGCAGGTACGGTTCTGGATGGTGACTCTGGCTGCTCCTTGTATGACGCGCAAGTATTCGGTGTGATTTTCGTGCCAGTGCGAGCCTGATGTCCACGTACTCTTTGGGGGCAGGATAATGGTGACGGTTGGAGATGGGGGTTCTGGGAGAATGTATGTGACTACACCTGGCCGGGTGAATGTGTTTGTGTGCTTTGTTTCTGTGCGAGGCATTTTTGTGTTTTGAAGCTGGGAATCGTTGTAGGATGGCTGTTATCAGTAATCCTTAGTGCTTATGAAGGCGCATTGCGGCCCTATTCCGCGTGGATGATTAATGGGCATATGGTTTGCTGACGTACGAAAGTCTCTGATACTTTTTGGCAATAAACAAATGGAATTCTATGATTAAGATAGAGATAGATCTATTTAAATACTTGAAGAAATATTCTTTAGAACGCTTCCATAGAACATTGTAGCGTAACAGCAAGTATTCAACCTAGTGTATTGGACCTTTCCAAATAGACACACTACTAGTTCTCAAAGGTCTTCCTTTCTGTGAGAACAACTGGTAGAATAAACAGACATGTGTATAATAATAATATACAACGGTGAAATAGGGACTTAAGCCAGGCATACAGCGATGCTATCCGTTTAAACAAGAATCGGCAGCTTGCATGGAGCAAGTGCATACATTAGGGTTTCACGGGACAGAATAGGCGCAGGCACAGGGCCATACATAGCACCGATATAAAGTCAACGGGATACTTCCTCCTAGAGACTGTCGGTATCTCCTGATTTACGTATCTGGTTCAGGAGGGAACTCATAGTAGGCTGAGTGTAGACATCCCTATGTTATTTTAAAGATCTGAAAGGAGTTGTTAGAAAATATAGATTCCCCATACTTTTCTAAGATTGGAATAGTATATCCTTATTATAGTCACATTGTAGGATTGAACTTTTATTCCATTTTTCACCCCAAGTTAGAATTTCTATTGGATGATACACCGAAGGCTCTATATCTTGTAGCACTATCACACACCGATTAGGTAGTTCAGAATAGCCCTACCTTGCTCAGTGTGACAGCGCCACTTGAGTGACAGATCCTTGTCTTTGGGACTAAAAGTGTCACTGCATAGCATTTGTGATAGTGATGCAGGGTGAGCGACCCGACGATGATCATTGGAAACTCTATCGGATGTCCCACTTCGCTCGAAGAAACTCCGGTATAAAGCTTAATACAATGATTTACTGGATCGTCTACATGATTACCCTAAAGGATGTTGAAAAGTCTATGTCTGTGGGGGAGGGGAGAAAGAAAGTCGAAGAAAAGCAAAGGCAAAGGGCAAAAAACGCGTAACATAAAGCACTCAAGGCAAACGATCCATGGCTCTGACGGCGTGGGGTCTCTTTGATATCTCCAATGGACCAACGGGCGAGATCTAAATTTAATTTACCAACAACAAGCTGAAACTTCTGCAGGATTGCCCCCTGCGGTTCCTTTTATGTTGGCTGGGTGATGGGAGGCCAACTCACCTGATTCCGTGCTTGTTTTACGGAGGACACTGAAAATCAATTGATCGGCAGAAGACCCCGGTCCAGGAAGGGTTTGCATGATTCGCCTCCTCCCACCAAAGGCTTTCGGTCTAAGGTGTGATAGAGATGTGCCGATGTGCTTGAGCGTGCATCGCGTTGGCGCTTAACGGACGAGGGTGGCGATCATTGGCCAGCAGACCAACCCTACTCGGCCGCTCTTCATCGCGATCGATTGATGCAGTCAGTGAACCAAAGACTATATAGCCGCCCAACTCTCCCCTGGTCGTCGAACCCTTTCTATTTTTTGGTCCACTGTTTGTTTGAGGTTTTCTTTAGTCTCCCTTTCAGTTCTATTTTCGTCTTCTAGTGGTTCGTTTGGCTGGTCCAGACGAGTGCTATTTTTTGAGTCTTCCTATTTTTGGATCTGCCTTACGTCAATAATAGTATCAGTTACACGCCCTGCGTCTAAGAAACCTTCGTTGACCGAAGTGAATCATTAGCGCTCTTAATATCTTTTCCCAATACTTTAAATCTCCTTCGTTCCCCCCAAAAGCTGTGTCCAACCTCCACCTCCACAATGATCCCCACTGCTCGTGCTGCCACAAGACCCAAGTTGAGCCTGAGCATTTCTGCTGCGCAGAATACCTCTCGGCCTACATTGTCGCTCAAGTCCCCGGGTCCTCTCCCCCGGACTCCGATCTCCCCGTCTGCTGCCAGTCCAAGTTCGGCCCGGTTCTCATCCCTTCAAGTCCCGGGTTATGGCTACGTCAACTCGTGTTCCTCAAAGAGTATTCTCAAGAAGCAATCGACAGCGGTCGCAGCGGGCAACGTCAACAAACGCATCCAATTTAAAGGTACACCGACTGTCCACTGCGTGACGCCCATTGAGAACCCGGAGGAATACTACGGCACGCACACCAAGATGTCGCGCGAAGAACGACGTTGGCTGGTGCGCGAATGAGCGATCGCCGGTAGAACTTGCTGAACAACAACTACACAGACGGAACGAAAGAGACTACTCTGAGTTCGGGGCCTCGTCGTCCGTTGGGTCCATCCCCTGCGACCGCACCCGGCCCTAATTCTCAATTGACAAGCAACTTGCAGCACATGCAGCAGAGCCTGTGGAGGACCGCCGGCGCAGAGCATCGGACGTCCAGAACGAAAGTCAAGGAGAGGAATGTCCCTATCGGAAAGGAGGGCAAACTGTCAATGTATATATGATCCTATTATGTTTATGATGTGACGATAAGATCCATACCCAGTATAGCATGAGTGAGCATTAGCCTGGAGAAATCCAATTACAGTCGTTACGCTCCATCAGTTGCGCTCAAACCCGTATCGTGGTAGAATATGTAGTCGTCCATGTACCGCTCTAATACATGTTTCTACTTGTTCCACATCCGTAGATAATCGTATTAGCCAAGGTAAAAACAAACAGACACATTGTAAACTGCTGATGCTCTGCGTCATTACCATTTCGGTCATGGCTTAGGGCACTCTTTAAGGGCTTCTGTGGCCCGTGCGACCGAACGTCAGGCCTTTTCCGCAGTGGTTATCGCCGCGTCCAGCCAGAGCACCATTTCTACAACTAACCCCAATGTTGAGCTTGAGAACCCCCGTCGCGAGTTTTCGCAAGGCTATATGCAGCACAGTTAGGCGTAGTCTGTTTCCTCGATATCGGGGCCTGCTCACTTTTGCTATTGAAACGTCTTGGTGAGAGCGATTCCGGATCTGAAGCAAGCCTGACTGCTAACTTGTCTATCTGCACTAGCGATGACACTTCAGTCGCAATCGTTGAAAAGAACGAAGCCACCAATGCCGCTAAGATTCATTTCCTTGAGAACGTGACGGCCGATTCAAATGAGTACCGAGGCGTCCACCCCATTGCATCTCTCGAGTCGCATCAAGAGAACCTCGCGAAACTGGTTGATAAGGCGCTGAGGCATTTGCCCGTCGCCTCGGACAATGTTGGAGGACACCGATCGATAACGCTCGCAGATGGCTCCCAGCCGCGCTGCAAACCGGACTTTGTATCCGCTACTCGAGGGCCGGGGATGCGAGCGAATCTCTTCGTCGGCTTAGATACAGGGAAAGCGCTGTCAGTTGCGTGGCAGATCCCTTTCGTGGGAGTTCATCATATGCAAGCTCACTTGCTGACACCCCGGCTTGTGTCATCTCTAAGCCACGACCAAGGCACCAGTGGTAACGTCTCACCGTCACCGCCAGTTACGCCAGAATTTCCCTTCCTATCTATCCTCGTCTCGGGTGGCCATTCGATTCTTGTGAAATCATCAACTCTTACGGACCACAGGATCATGGCTTCTACCGCAGACATAGCAATTGGCGAGTCGCTTGACAAATCGGCCCGGGAAATCCTTCCTACTTCCTTACTGCAGAGTGCGAAGAATACCATGTACGGCAAGATGCTAGAGGAGTTTGCTTTCCCAAATGGTAGCGCTGACTACGCTGACTACCGTCCGCCGCTGACCCGTGGCGAGGAACTCATCAAGCGGGAGACCCCCTGGGGCTGGTCCCTGACGACCCCGTTTGCTAATACTCGCAACCTGCAATTCAGCTTTTCATCCATTGCCAGCGCAGTCAAAAAATCATCACACAAAAGGAGAACTCTGGACAGAGCTTTTCCCATGACGAGCGAGTTGAAATGGCGCGTGAATCCATGCGGGTCTGTTTCGAGCATCTCGCCTCCCGGACGATCATCGCTCTTGAGACACTTCGTCAACAGAAGCCTGATGACGAGGTGAAGACTCTCGTGGTCAGCGGTGGTGTTGCGGCCAATCGTTTCCTCATGGCTGTTTTACGCTCATTCCTCGATGTCCGCGGCTTCGGTCATATCGACATTGTCGCACCCCCTCCGTACCTGTGCACTGATAATGCGGCAATGATCGGATGGGCTGGCCTCGAAATGTTTGAGGCGGGCTGGCGCACAGATCTCAGTTGTCGCGCTCTCAGGAAGTGGAGTCTGGATCCGCAGGCCGATGATGGCGGCGTTCTGGGTCCCGGCGGATGGCAGAAAGCCTAGACCTATCTTTCTATGATGGGGTCATTGCCTGCACTGTACACTAGTAATACCCATGTACACCACTCAGCCTTTTACTTCTACCAGATGTATATATACTCTCAATTTATAGTCATACACACAGGCAGGATGTGATAGTCATATTCTTTCTTGGATTAGACATTTGTTTCATACCAGATCTATCTGCCAATCGTACAGAAGGTCTTATCCTACACCCAGACATAGTGCGAACGACCTTTTGTCAATAAGCTGCATTGATTCATGATGTCCATCTAGTGATTTCGAGGATACTGTCATCCAATCGACCAGCGACCAGAGAGCTCCTGTTTTCCACGGAATGTGAAGGTCCCTTCGCGAACCAAACTGCCGCTGAATTTTGGCTAGATAGTCGTGACGCTGGTGATTTCTCGCATCGAACCATCTATCGATAAAGATGAGGTTTCAAGTCAACCACCTGCGACATTGTTACCTTGCCGCAAAGTGGTGATTTGTTTCCGAAGCTCGAGGAAAAAGTCCTTGCCGTTGGCCATGGTGTTTGCTGTAGCATGAACGTCAACATGACGAAAGAGAGGGGACAAATCAATCGGGCGACATACGTTTCGAGCCCCAAGGCCCAGAGCGATTTGTGTCCTTCCCACCAGGTTTATAGAAGAAGGGCTTCGGCTCTACGAGAATGGTTAGCGGCCTGATGGGTGTTTGCACGTCGCAAGCTTCTTCTGGAATAATGTACCTCTTGAATCTAATGCACATCTTCCGTTAGCAAATGATGCATCGCAGAGGGTCCATGGGGGAGCCTACTTCTTCTGAGAGCCCCCTTCGCCTCGGCAGCATTGAAGCCTCGCACGGGAACATGTTGCTCCTGAGCTGGTCCAGTGGAAAGCTGATCACGCGACTCTCCCCAGGCATTCTGGTTCTGTCCACCACGAGAGCCACTGTGTGCGCTCATCGTTCTGTGCAAGGAGTGCCTTTGTCCCGACTGGCGGTTTTGGTCATATGTGCGGCCCCCGCGCCATCTAGCAGGAGATCTCGGACGTTAGCATTTAAGGGCGGCTGGAGATAGATAAGTAATGGGGGGGGAAAGATATTTATAGAGAAAAATTCAGGGTCGGGGCAAATTGAGGGGAAGACGATTACCGATCATCGCCAGGACCACTCATATTGGGAGGGAGAGAGGCTCGATCAAATCGGATTGGATTGATTGATTGAATTAAGCTGTGGGCTTTCAATGGAAGAAGCTCCGCGTTGATTAAATCGGACCGAAATGTCAGGTGGAGTCTCTCCGCCTTGGCTCAAGAGGGTTTAGTGCCGCCGGGCAAGTGAGATAACGGACACTCCTCGCTTTCGCGTCCTTCCCTTCGTCGCCGATGGTTGTGACTCCTCTGCCCTTCATTTCCTTGCTGTTTAATGCATTTTTTGGTTGTTATTGAGTCATGATTGACATTTCTCCTTTACTTGACCCGGTTTCCTTTTGCTACGCGGCGCCGCGAGACTCTGTTTGATTGCAACGTGAGGCTGAAGCGACAAGCTGAACGACATTAATCAACATCCACTCTTTTGTACATCATCCCATACATAGCGGGCTGAGCATTCTTTCCCGACCGCAAAAATGGCGCCATTAGCGTCGAATAAATATCGGTCATCCCCCGGAAGGCCCCCTAAAACCCAACCCAAAGCGGTGCTGAAAGGCACCCAGAACTCAAACGCTACTCCCGGCGACGGACCACCCCTCAAGAAGCGGAAATACGTCCCTGGTGGACCGGGTGGTGGAGGTAGATACATCGAGCTTGATGTGCGAGAAACGAAGCCGCCTAAGCCGGCGAAGCCTGCGAGACCACCCAAACCGGCCAAACCGGCGCCAGCTGCACGCAACTCCACCCCCCGAACCCGCCATGCACGAGAAGCCGAAGTGCAACACTTGCAGCTCCCCCCTCCTCCACCCCCCGTCCCAACGACACCTCCATCTGCGCGCCTCACAAGAGACAAAAGCCAAAGTCGGGGCGGCCGTTTCGGCTCCTCGACCGCTGCTGCTCTCGCTTTACAACAAGGAGATGGATATAAACCACGGGAAGAGCGAGGGTGGGAAGAATTTCACCCGGACCTGGATATTGAAACGAAGTTTGTCGTCTTCCCTGCGGAGGAGGTGGATAAGCCAGCTCCGTCCGCGCATGTAGCCCATATCCTGTCTCCGAATGGCCTCAACCTCAGCAATGATAAAGACCCGTTAGCTGAACTTATCCGAGCTCATGCCAATGGCACGTCACCTACACCGATCAAACGCCGCCCAGGCCGCCCTCCCCGCCGTCCTGAGGCCATTCTAAACGCCCTCGGCATTACACCACAACCAAAAGTTGTTCCACCTCCTGGTCCAAACCCTCGCGAGAGGCTAACTCTTCCTAAGCCCTCGTTCCGACTACGAGATGCATTTGTTTTCTACGATAAACCAGGAGTAGGCCAACAAAACTATGTTGACCGGACAATGGCAAGCGTGGGATACCAGGAGACTGACCTTTTCCTTCGCCACGATCGTCGATTGATTCGGGTAACTGAGGCACCACAGGAGGACGATCTCGATGCTGTCAACCCTGTGGGAACTGAGGAGGAGCCCAACACGTCCGTTGGAAGAGTAGAATACGACATGGATGAGCAAGACGAGAAGTGGCTAGAGGACTATAATGCCAAGCGGAGAGAGGATCAACTGGAGCCCATCAAACCCGCTGTCTTCGAAATTACCATGACCAAGATTGAGAAAGAGTGGCATGCGCTCGAGAAGCGCATCCCAAAACCAAACCCCAAACCTCCCCAGACGCAACGGCCTCGTTCGAGCTCTGCCGCTGCTGTGAATGGCGAAACCACGGGGCCAGGAGAGGATCAAGACAGCAAATGTGCGATTTGCGATGATGGCGACTGTGAGAACTCCAATGCTATTGTCTTCTGCGATGGGTGCGATCTGGCAGTGCACCAGGAGTGCTACGGCGTACCATTCATCCCCGAGGGCCAATGGCTGTGTCGTAAATGCCAACTGGTTGGGAGAGGAGCTGTCAACTGCATCTTCTGTCCCAACACCGAGGGTGCCTTCAAACAGACTACCACCTCGAAGTGGTCTCATCTGCTTTGCGCTATATGGATCCCTGAAGTGTCTATTGGCAATCCCTCGCTGATGGAGCCGATCACCGATATCGAAAAAGTACCCAGGAGCCGTTGGAAACTTCATTGCTATATTTGCCGACAGCGAATGGGTGCATCGATTCAGTGCAGCAACAAGAACTGTTTTGTCGCATTCCATGTGACTTGCGCCCGACGGGCTCAGCTCTACCTGAAGATGAAGTCCGGTCACGGATCTCCCGCAGTCATGGATACTCACCTGCTCAAGGCATTCTGTGACAAACATGTTCCCCCTGAGTGGCGCAGGGAACATGGAACGGACGCGGCTACCGCTGAAGCCATGGAATTCTATCGTACTACTATGCAAGGCCGACGGTGGGGTGACAGTCAAGCTGCCGCGTTAGCATTAGAGCCATCACACCCCCTCGGGTGTGAACATCATGACGACGAGGCACTGCGGACTCATACGCCACGCATTACGCTTACAGTTGGTGGGAATAAAAGAAAACGGCCTACTGTACCGAAAACTATCTGGAAATTGCCGTCTGGCGCTCCTGTAGTACCGCACGTTGTCCTAAATGCCATTGCAGCCTCCCTTCAGCGTTTCGGTGTGCGTCAGAGAAAGCAGTATGCTGAGGATGCGTGCAAGTACTGGACACTCAAGCGCGAGGCGAGAAGGGGAGCCGCATTGCTGAAGCGTTTGCAACTACAGCTGGAGACCTTCTCATCTATGGAAATGACCAGGAGGGACTACGTCGCCATGGGAGCTGCCGGAGGCAAGCGGCTCCAACGCCGCATTGAGTTTGGTGAGCGCCTATATGACGATCTCGATCGGTTGAGAACGATGTGCGATGAAGTCAAGAAACGTGAGAGGGAAAAGTTGAAGGATGCCGAAACTCTTCGGAGTATTGTCGACACCGTCTACTTCCCTATCTTCCCCTTACTCTGGCCTATTTTTGACAAAGCTCAAGGGTATGTATCCTTTTCCTCGCTACTTTTGGGTATTTACTGATGTCGATACAGACTTGACGGCAAGGGTATCTTCAGACAGGGGTTGACTTCGATACGCACCAAGCTGGAAGAGCGCCAGTACACCTCCGTTTCTGCCTTCTCCGCTGATCTTGCTCGCGTGTTCACCTCGGAGATTGGGGTCCAGCCCGCTGGAGACACCGCCGAACTTCAAATGCAGATCAGCGGGCGCGCTCCGGAACTCAGCCTAGAACAGCGCGAGAAACGGAAACTGGCCAAGCGCATTATCAAATTCATTCAGCCTGCCCTAGAGGAAGCGATCAAGAAAGAAAGCGAGCTGAACCGTAAGCCCTTCGAACAAGAGCTTAAGGAATTGGATCTTATGCTCGAGAACAGCGTTATGTCGCGAAGGGGTTCCCAAGCCGAGTCCCCAGCGGCTGGTGACGAAGGGCCGGGCAAACCAGAGGTCAATGGAGATGTGGAGGTGACTGCTAAATCGGAGCCCTCTGATGGTACCGAGGTTACCGCCTTGCCCCAACAGTCCGTTGATAGCGCTATGCCAGATGCAGACCAAGCCCAAAATCCCGATAGTGCTTCAGGCTCTCAGACTCAGAAAGTCCCCGGGGTTGGAGTATCCACTCCGACGGTCGAAGGTGGATCTAGCAAGCAAGAGAACCCGTCTGCTAATGCACCTTCCACCACTCTTGAAGCACCACCCGCCGCAAATGGAATGGCAGACAAACCAGAAGAGAATAATCTAGGGCCCACCGATCAGCCTACTGAACCACAGACAGAGCCGTTGACACCCCCTCCCAGCTTCAAGGGAGACCAACAGCTTCCTTTAGCGCAAGGTGGCATCCAGTGGTATATGCAACCGTTCGATCCTGTGGGCACTACTATCCATGAAGAGCGATGGACGGGCCGGGATGTCATGCGCGGGATGAGTGAAGAACTGAGTGAGCTTGACGAGGAGGAGCTGAAAGACTTGGTCGACGATGAACTCGAGGGGGCGATGGGCACTGCCATCGAGGGGTCCACCACCGACACTGGACCAGATGCTGCACCGGAGCAGGCCGTCAAGGTGTATCGAACTCGGCGACGCTGGCGTGGATTTAAATAGATGATTGAAGCGATCTCCCGGTTGAGTGTTTTTCATTTCTTCTTTTCTTCAACCTCTTTTTCTCCTTTCTCTCTTTAATATCTTGATCTTCTCTCGTGTTTGTGTTCGGGCTTATGGCGCGGATCGGATTACGGCGTCCCCCTTTTTACTTCTCTTTCATCTTGTTGATTTCATGTGTTCACTGTGCTTTTGCGTCTACTATGATGAATGAATCTTGAGATGTTCGTTTTCTTGCACTGGTAGCATTGAGGATGGGGGTCGTCGAGATTTGTAGTTAGGTTGATCTACGACTGAATGGACTACTGCAGCTGAGGATCTTAAGCATGCATCCCGTGGAGAGTATGTATAGTTATGCATTGTAATTATTATTTCATTTATCACGAGATCCAGGCAGATTCATTGCGGCGTGTCTACAGTATGTACGGTCTGTATCAATGATCATAACAAACAGCCGGGTCTTGGCGCTCCACCCACAAGAGCCGCTTGCCGTAAAAGGTCTGGAATTCGGTGACTTGGACCTTCGACGGGAAGTCAACGAACTCGGTGCTTTGCTTGCTTTTCTTCCTCTTCCCCCTTCTTTCATCATTCATCCATCCCTCCCCCCAACAACCATTCATCTTCCTTCTTCTTTTTCCTCCTTCCCTTCCCTTCTTATCCTTTCCCCCTGTTCTTCTTGAGGACTTGATTAATTCTTCCTCACCGGTATTGGTGATTATTCTCTTTCCTAATCAGACCAGTGTGGGTGCTTGAATTTTCTGCATCATTTTCCCATCAACCAATTCTCGACGTGCGACGCGCCCCTTTCCCTGTGATATAACCGCTCTTTTTGCCAACCAAATTCTAGTTGTGCAATAAATTTCCGTCAATATGTCCACAGAGTATGATCACGAAAACGGTCGCTATGACGGTAGGTTCCATGGTTACATCAGCATCTTCGGCATCGCCTGGGAACACCACAGCAATACTGATCCGTCTACTTCCTCACGCGTTAGACGAGCCTCGCTTCTCTCGCGACGAACGCAGCGCATCTCCTCGCGATGAGCCTCGTGCCGACCGCGCCCGGAGCCGCTCTCCCAATGGTCGCGCCGATGACCGGTAGGTCGCATACCCGGAAATTTCGCCACGTGCCGGGCGTTGGTTGAATTTGAGGGAATACAAAGGAACTAACTCGCCATTTTTTTTTTTTTTATTTTTTCAGGGCTCCTATCGAGCCGCGTAAGCCTCTTGAGGATGAAGAAGGTGCGGTCAACACTGGCTCCAACCTTTTCGTCACGGGCATCCACCCGCGTCTGACCGAGTCCGACATTTCGCGTCTTTTCGAGAAATATGGTGATGTCGAGAGCTGCTCGATCATGGTCGACCCCCACACCAAGGAATCTCGTGGCTTCGGATTCGTCAAGATGGTGACTGCGGAACAAGCCGACGCTGCCAAGGAAGGTTTGCAGGGTGAGGTCATCGAAGGCCGTACTCTCAGCATTGAGAAGGCTCGCCGTAGCCGCCCTCGCACTCCGACCCCCGGCAAATACTTTGGACCCCCCAAGCGCGGTCAGTAACTCTTGAGCCCGGATCAATAACCCCATCGACTCACAGCATTCGCAGACTTCCGGGGCGGTGGCCGTGGTGGACGCGGTGACCGCTACGACGACCGACGTGCCCCTTACGGAGGCAGCTGGCGTCGCAACGACGACTACCGTTATGGCCGCTACGACTCTTACAGTGACCGCCGCGACTATGGCGGCCGTGGTGACTACCGGGATTACCGCCGTGACTACCGGGACGACTACGGTAGCTACCGTGGAATTGATCGTTATGCTTCGGGAGGACGGGAAGACCGGTACAGTCGCGATGAACGCCGCGATGACCGCCGCGAAGAGCGCCGTGGCTATTATGATCGCGATGCTAACCCTCCTAGTTACAGTCATGGTGGTGCTCCTCCTCCTCCCCGCGAGGGCTATTCCGGCGGCGGCGGCAGCAGCGGCGGCGGTGGTGGCGGTCGCTCGTATGATCCTCGTGAAGACCGCTATGGTAGCAGGTAGGTGCAGGGTTGGGAGTTATCGACGATTAAAACTCAGGGTCATGGCACGTAATTCTTTTCCCCCTTCTCTAGTCTCTGTCTAGGCTTCCCCTTATTCGTTTCTTTTGTTACCCCTTGTCCTTATTTTCTGTGACATTCCAACGCCCATGCACATTCCTTGGAATGGTTTCTTAATTCAATACCCGCTGCCTATGGGGAATGAGCTCGACGGTCCACGGTGGAATGTCGGTTTATGTTGTTCTTGATTTTCATCGGAAAAAAAAGTCGTCTGCGCAATTCCTACTTGTCATCCCGGCGACATTCAGTACGCCATCAGTCATGCGACCATTTTAACCCTGTCGGAAAACCAAAAGAGAGAAAAAAAAACACAGACAGAAAGCAAAAAGGGAAGAACAAGATACTCTAGTGTCGTCGGTCTGCAGTCGCTAGCTGGATTTTTCTTTTGTTAATTCGCTCGAAACACCGGACAAAATTGGCGGCAGGGAAGGAAAAGACATGATATTTACCTTAACGTTGTAATTCCTCGGATTGTCAGATGGGTCTCAGCACTTCTACATTGCAACTCTTCCGGAAATTGGTCGTTATCTCGCTAGTCAGCTTGTTCGCCTTGTTGCGTCTTATTCAACCTTTTCTACGTAACGACTGTTCGATCTGTATACGGCCAAAAGCAAAGACATAATATCTATCATGCCATGCACAATTTCTCTTCACGCCTCCTGAGGACACAAGCAGTTGAACGGAGTTCGGCCATGGTCCGCCAGTTCCACCATCGTGTTTGCTTGCGTGCTTGTAGTATCGCCAGTACGAGCGAAGTGTACGCGTCTAGAACGAGCGGGAGAGAGCCATGTCGACGTAATTGCAGCAGCCATCTTATCAACAGCCCGGAGTTGCACCAACTTCGACCGTTGATGGCCTGTTGGCCCGCCGAGGTAGGTAAGATGGTATTGCGATCCGAGCTAACACGTGGAAAAGGAATCCCATCTTCTCATTCAGGGTTGACCCTGTCCCCATGGTCCAATATGGTTTCTTCGCTTTGTGCTTTTTCTCGGAGTCAGACGAACTTCATTGCATGGTGCTGTCAGTCAGCCGTGACCTGTTCTTGGTTGCTTTGCCAAGTCACTAACAGACAGAACCATGCTTTTGATGGAGAAGCTCGTGGGTTCGTGTCGTTCTCGGCTCTAGAATACCGGGTCAAAAGTGTACACTATTCGTTTGTAGGCATAGAGACGTTCTCTGCTGGTCGATTCTCTGTTCACTCAGTTTTCCCTGGTTAGTCTGACAAACTAGAGATATCGATCAAGGGAGGCACACCACCGGTTCTGTTGTTAGGTAGCGTCACCCGTGGAGCACCTCTAGATCTGCCGATGGGAACCCTCGAACCTGAGCTGGTTTCTATGGGTGAACCGTTAGTTTAGATTAGGAGTTACAATCGATAGTTGCAAATCAGTCGAACTCTTTCATCCTCTTACTTGACCATTCTTAGTTTAAGTGGCCCATAAGGTAAGGACGAGGAGTGCCTTTGATTAACCGTATAATCATCCTTCACAAGCTCCCTGGCAGTATGTCTAGTGAAGGAATAGTGTTTTCGTCACTCTGGGAGTGTAATCTAAATGAATACCTTATGACGAATCCATGTAAATTGAATAAAACTGAGAATAGCAGAAAAGGTCTATGCTTCACAGTGCAAGTGGTTTTTAGAGTGCATAAGATATATCTCCGCGATCCGTTCCCCATACCATCCTGATAAAATTCTATCAATGTATTTCCCAACTCAACCAAATTGAGTAACTTGAATACAGTGTACTGCATAGATTCTCAACATCTATGTATAATTATGCTCATATCAATCATTGACATGAACACACCCGAAAACCAGTATCTGTCAACCAAAAACCTACTCCGATCCACCACAACCAATATAAATAGCAAGGATAATACAAACAAACTCGATTCTCTCACCCCAATAACGTACAAAAAATGGTATCATAAAATCCCTAACCCAAAGAAAAAAACACCACAAACCACCTTAAACACCACAGACGAACCATCCTCAAAGTCCAGTTCCCAACATGCGCAGCAAAAGACATAACCAAAGGCCTTTCGAGTATCCCTTGCTCCATCCCAGTCCATCTCTAGAGCGCATGACTGGCCATCCCCGGTAGAAATGTAATATCCGCTCCTTTCGGGGGTAAGATGAGGTAGAATAAGCCGATCATCAAGCAACATCCTCTACTCAGGCGAAGTACACTCAATCCCAATATCCCAATCCACACCCAATCTCTAATCCTTATGATATGAAAGATCTATTCAGGCGACTTCGCCCCCTCCACCTCATTACTCTTCTGGATCAGGAATTCGCCGAGTACGCGGAGCGGGTTTTGTGGTCTATTTCCCATACAATCCAGTTAGTCGACTCAATCCCCTAGCCCATCGCACATACACGTCGATGACTCTCACAGGGTTAACATCACTCACTGCTCCTTCGTAACATGCTTCATTCCCTCCAGGAGATACGGGACGATCTTCTCGTTCATGTAGACTCGGGCCGGGGCACCGCCGGGCCGCACCTGGGTGGTTGGGACGGGTTCGCCGGTCGGGGTATTGGCCGCTGCGGTGTTGGGGGTGGAGTCGTTGGCCATGATGGTTGGTTTTTCGATTGTCGAGGGGGTATCTTTGGTATTCGGGGGTGGGATGGGGGATTCGGGCTTTTTTTTTTTTTTTTTTTGTGGGTTGTGAGCTCTCAGGATTCCGTTGGGTTATGACGTTTGAGTTTGGAGATGATGTATGGATTCAAGTTTTGTGAGAGATCAACAATTGGATCCAACCATCAACTCCCGGTAATGGAGAAAAAGCAACTGCAGGGCAATGTAAAGCAAAAAAGATTAAGGATTGAAAAATAGTGTAGTAGTTATGGAGCTTTCCTTCGACATTAAACAAATCATCCTTGTGGCGGGACAGCTCTCCACAGTGGGGATTGGCCCATGGTATGTGTGCCGTTGAACATAGACTGGATTGGGGGAGGCTCAACTCACTGGGATGTCGGTCATGGGTTGATCCATCTTGCGCCGTGGGCTATGCTGGATCTGGACTTTCTATGTCTTCAATGTCTCTATCAGGGCTTCAGTTGTCACATTGAGGGGTTTTGTTTGTTTCCATAATTCTTGGTTGTCTTGCTTATTCTCGATGCTACGGCGTGATTGGATGGTGCTGCAAACACGGCAAACATGCCTTTTTTGGGCCAATTAAAGTCAGGTGATCTCGTGTCGGTGGACGTGATTGCGCGTCTTGCACTTTGGATGTTGTCGTTGGGTTGGAGATAAAGGCGTTTCTTGGGGGCTTTTCCGGCGACTCTCATGCTGATAAGTACGCCCTGCCAGCATGTCCCTGTTGGACTACTGGGACACCCTGCGGCCGTCCGTCAAGCGCAGAAAAACCACGGCGGATGATACGGACGACACGACTAGTCTGAGCGATGCTGTTTCGGGCCGGAAGGGTGGGCTGGAGATACCGGAGACGTCTGTGGTGAATCCAGATGTGTCGGATCCGGTGTATACACCATGTCTAGACCAGGAGCCAGAGGGAGATGATCTTCCCTTTCCTGCGAGCCAGACGGACCTCGAGTCCTCGCTCCCCGCCGTCGAGACAGATAGCCACGCAATCGAGGAATACGAGGCCTCCCAATCCATCTCAGATAACGAGGAGGAGCCGGGGCTACGGGAACGGCTGCAAAATGGCAGGTGGCGGAAGGGGAAGAGCTCCATCTACGTGGATGCGTTCAATCTGGCGCTGGAAACTGTGCTAGACGAGGAGGCGCATCTGTTTGATGAGGCCGAGATGGAGGTCTTCAAACAGTGGAAGGAGCTATCATATGAATCCCAGTACTTGTCTGCTCGTCCCAGTCACAAACTGCACCTCCGAGTCACATACTAACCGCCACAGATATGTACGACTCTTTCTCCGAAAGACCTCAGCCTGGCACCGCATCAATCGACTGGGCTACTACTCCGACATCTCAGACCTCACAAGCGTAGTAAACGACCTCCAGCATACTCGAACTCTCCCTCCCAGCCCGTCCCCAGTAACCGAGACCCCCATCGACATGGAACACCCCAAACTAGCCACCCAATTCCACTTCGCCGACAAAACAGACCAAATCACCACCCTCGAAGAAGCCAGCGCCCTCCTCCTCCTCGACGAACTCAAGACCCTCGCCAAAGACGCCAAAGTCCACGGCAAAAGCAAAAAGGACCTCCTAATAGCCCTGCACCGCGCCAGCCAGCAACAAGCCGGCCTCGACTGGACCAACTCCAAAGCCGCCGCCAACCGCGACAGCCACTTCATCCAGAAGATCCTCGACTACACAGGCGACTGCATCCGCCTCGCCGCGGCGCCCCGGGCACTCTTCGAGCGCGTCCATCTCGTCTTCTACCGCTCGACCGAATGGACGGAGAAATCTCTCACCACCATCATCCTGGCGAAGATCTCGCGCCGCAACTTCCCGGAGTATGTGGTCTGCCGCTCAAGTTCGATTTTCCCGTCTCGAGCGTTTCTCTTGGAATTCGAGTCTGCGTTGCGCACGCAGTTCAACATAGACAACATCCTGGAGTTCAGTGGCACGCCGACGGTGCAATCGCTGACCCAGGTCCGGGATTATGCATACACGGTGTATCCGCGGTGGAAGCAGCTCTGCGAGCAGGAGCAGCAGAAGGAAGACAGTGTGTATGAGTGCGGGGAGGGGGCGTATCTGCGCCGCTTCTCGCCTGCATGGGTGTACACGCGAATCATCCACAAGGGCCTCTACCCGCTCGGCAGGTTCAAGGAGTATATGGAGGAGCACCGGCTTCTGTCAGAGCTACTGGGCCAGCGGCTGTTTCATGCTGCACGCCGGGGGTCGTGGTATCAGCGGAAAGCACTCCTGGAGGAACACTATCTGTGGAACCTGATGTCCTGGGAGGGACGTAGCGAGGATGCGCAACGGAAACACTGGCGACGGATTGCGTTGCAGACCTGCGAGGAGGGCCTTCAGGATCCAGACTGTCACTTGATCTACCACTATGACCTGCAGAAGCGCATTATGAAGCTCGAGAGGGCGCTGAAGGTGGTGAAACGCGAGCAGCATGACTTTAGTCATGTCATGTTGGAGAAGCCCGCGGAACGCACGGTCGAGGGTATTCGTATTGAGCGCGAGGAATCATCCGCGCAGGAAGATACGTCGAGACGGGGGCGCCCGACTGTCTGGGTTGATGAGCGGGATGGGGGTGAATGCCGCGTCGAAAGTATGTGTTTGAGCTGGTATCGCGACCAGGGGTGGAAGGGGTATCATTCTGAGGGAGGGATTGTGCGGACGCTGGTGAGTTTGGTTTATCTTTTCTTTCCCGGAAGAAGTCGTGATTGATTGATTTGATGAGGACCAGTTTGGCTATCTCTTCTACGACATCCTCTTCACCTACGTCCCGAATGTCTTCCAGACGCCTTTCCAGACCTGTCCCTTGGATCTCCATACGGACGCCTTCTACGCTACGCGCGCCTCGGAGATCAACCATCGTCTGGTGGAGATCACCAACGGCGAGTCAGAGCGTATCCTCCGCGCTGTTCACGCGCGTGAAGCAGCCCGCCAGCCCTGCGCCATTGGCATCGATTGGACCTTCGAGCTGGACGACCTCGTCGACATCGTGCGGTGTTTCCGTGGCGAGGCCCTCGCGGCGATCTGCAAGGTGCTGGCGCAGGAGTATCAGCAGCGTGGCGGTGGCATCCCGGATCTGTTTCTGTGGCGGGTGGAGACTCGCGAGGTGATGTTTGTGGAGGTGAAGAGTGAGAATGATCGGTTGAGTGATACACAGCGCTTGTGGATTCATGTTCTGGGGGGTGCTGGGGTGAGGGTTGAGCTGTGTAATGCGGTTGCTAGGGAGGTGAGGTATCTATAGTTCTTTATTGGTGTATATATGGTCGTAGATGGGTTGTAGATGTTGAGATACCCATACATATCATGCTGTAGATTAGTTGTCTTGCGGGGACGAATATAAATCAAGAGCATATAGCAGAAGTTCTGGGCAAGGTATATACTAATATATATGCTACATACTACAAGCACACCACAATCTACGACATCTACCAAGAGAAGAAAATTGGTCATGAAATTTTATTTTCTTGTCGACGACAGATATAATCCATCACCACCTAATGCCTGGAAAACAAACACTAGATGACTAAAAACCCACCCATCTCAGGGTAAGAAACCAATTCGAAAGACCTATCCGCGCCAACACACCAACACCCAGCCCAAGCGAGTAAAACCACTTAAGCAACGAGAGTGGAGGCGGTAGCGGACTCGTAACGCCAGGTGGGGGGAAGGACACCGACGGACTTGTAGTAACGAGACAGACGGTGGATACGGGACTCAATGAGAATGAGACGGAACTTGGAGTCCTTGTCCTTGCGGTTGCGCTCAAGGTGCTTGCGGACGGCAACAGCCTTCTTGATGAGGTGGTACAGATCCTCGGGGAGCTCGGGGGCGAGGCCTGAAAAAATCACTCTGTCAGCCTTGTTTTGACCAAGCAGAGGCATAATTGTGTTTTATACGATGAGGGATCTGTGAACGGGTCAAGGCGCAGACTTTCGCGGGGGAAAAGTTGCTCTCGACTCGCGTTCGACCATTTCCTTCTCATCTGGGGGTATGTGGGAGGGGGAGTGGCGTACCGCTGGACTTCAAGATACGGAGGATCTTGTTACCTATTCGTCAACTGTTAGACATTGCTTCTGACATCAACCATGGGGTGTCTGAACATACCGGTGACGTGCTTGACCTGGGCAACACCGTGGGAGTCACGGAGGACAACACCAATCTGGGAGGGGGTAGCACCCTTCTTGGCGAGCTTGCAGATCTGGTCGACAACCTGCTCAGCTGGAATGGGGTCAGTATCTCATGCGCATTGCGCTTTTGCGACGACGGTACTCACGGGTGGTCTTGAGCCACGAAGGAGCAGAGCGAGAGTAAGGCAGAGCAGAGGACGAAATGCCCTTTCCCTTGGAGTGAAGACGACCCATTTTGAATGAAGGTGGATTTGTCGGATTGGTTGTCGACGACGGTGTTGAGCTGCGCGGGGATAGAGTGAAATTTCTTCGAAGTCGAAGATCGTGTAGACGAAGATGAAAGTGAGGCCGGAAGGCGGTGTGCGTGTGGGTTTGTGGGGTCACGTGGTGCGGATGTGCCTCGCTTAAATTAAGGCTCATCTGGCGTCCTTTTTTCTTTGCTGCTGCCGCGGAGTTTCTTTCCTCACCTGCTTTTCGTCCAGTCTGCGACTTGGAGCTTGATGGTGCTCTTTGCAATTGCAATCGACCTTTGTTCTACTAACAGTATCACTGTTCAGGTATACTTACAGGTTAGTGACCCCATGTCTCTCGATTTTTACAGCCTATATGATGAAACACAACCTTTTTTATTTTTCTGGTACCTCTTATTTTAGGGCTGGTTCTCGTAACCAGCTCAATGAATGGAATGGACTTCTGAAAAAGCTGTTACTACTCTACGTGTTTATCAGTCGTTTATTCGAGCAATTGCTGACTCGTGGATGTATAGGAACTTTAGCCTTGGAATACACTGGAGGGATGTGGTTAATAGGTCAAATAGAATTCAATAAAG